ATCACCTGGCTGATTAAAGTCATGCAAAAGCACAGAGGGCAGGAGTGAGATTAGTTGCAGAACGCATCTGGTCACTGTAATTGTGCAGGGAGCAGACAAGGAGAATATTTTTGGCTGCTAATTTCAAAGACGAGACACATTCTAGCAGCACTGTAAAAACCCATTTGGCCAGTATCCAGCTTCAGTTACACTGCTACTTTCTCATGAACTGTGCAGTTGAACTAAGACACAACTTACATCTGTGCTGTACATACCTCCTGCTTCTGCTTTCACTGTGCCCTTGATATAATTTGCTCCAAAGACAGGCTGCTTAATTTCACAATCTTTCAGCAAATAAAAGGGCATCACAAAAGACTGCATAGCATCCTTTCCCTTCGACACAAAGATAATCTAAAAAGAAAACATTACAAAGGGTATTTAAAACAAACAGGAAACACAGGCCTGATTCATTATGCGAAGTGACTTTTTGCTGGATTGAAACTCCCTCCTACATCTCTAGTTGTGCAAACCAAAAGCTACACAGAACAGTCACAAGGGTAAACTGCAGCCTCAAGAAATAAAGCGTTCCAGGAAGGCTACACTTGCTTAGATAATACTCTTCCCAGCTTCCAGAGAACTTTCTGCTGCACACAGCTATGATCTAGTAGCTGCGCTCTTGCATTCAGCATTTCCAGACCACTGCTAATTTCCAATCTCAAAGACGCCTGATGGACTAAACAGCTGCCTTTATAAGAATTAACCAGATTTATTACCTTTTGACAAATAGATAGGCTGTACAATGAATTCATAATGCTCCCCAGGGGGAGAGGATGAGCCATAATTCAAGGGGTAGTAGACTATCCTGACTTTCACGCACCGAGGACATTTAAATACAGAATTGCAAAGAGCCCCTATCTCCTTACACAAGACAAAGTCTTTTACTACTTACTCGGTAGGGAGTCAAGAAAACACTCCCTTTCTTGGTCCCTTTGAACGCATCTGGCATAGGTTCAATATCACTGAAGGTAATTTCTACATGATCATAGGTCATCAAAACACTACAAACAAGATGAGAGAAGCAACACAGTGTTAACAGTGTTATAGCTCAAGTCAGAAGTACAACACACGTGTAGGTGTTTACTGACCTACCAAAACTGCCTTTAACCTCAGCCTAGTGCTCAGCAGACAAAAATCAGAAATCACTCTGGCTTGCATTTTCTTGGTGGTTCTTTTTTGGCAGTAGCAACTTATGCAGTACCTGCTGCTTGTTCTCAGCCTTGTGCTCCCTCCTCAGTGTGCTGGCACAGCTACCATTGTCTGCATAGCCAGGCAGTGAACCCAACTAACTGAACTGATCAAAATATCAAGGCATATATATAATTTTAAGTTGCATTGCATTTCTGCTGGATCAGTTCTCTAATTTGGTTCACCACAAGTAACACAACAGAGGAAGGACTGCTGAAGCAGGAACTGCTTGGGATGCCTTGCGAAACACAGCTATCAAAGGTCTAACCACAGCTTAAGCATCTCTGTCACAGAAACAGGATGGAAAGGAACTCCCCCTTTACGCCACTAGCCTTTATTAACCCATGCTGTCTGCACTGACTCCTTCATTCTCAATTCAAAACTGATCTTATTAAAACCAGTGCAATACCCTTGCACAGATACAGCTGGTAACTTGTATTACGTAACAGCATCCACATTAGGGACTCTAATCCCTAAAGGCAGAGAAACCTCCACCACCTTTTCCTTTGGCAGCTTACGTGCTACCATCCTCAGTCACTTGCCCTTTCCTTCTGCCAGCCAGTAGCTGTCCTTCCAGCTCTGGAAAGGCACAGGGGCCAGCAGCATTGCTTGGGCTACAGCACATCAGCTGAATCAACCACCACAAGCAGCATAGGCTGCCACATGAGAGGTAACCCTGATCCAAGGCAGGCTGACAACTTGGAACAGTAATACACAGTTGTTTGTTTTAGTGAATGCAAATTTAAGCCCCAGAGTTGATCTTGCTAAATTCTTCAAGGAACGGTCACATCCCGAACTGAAGTCAGGCACAGAATTCCTGTACCAATGTTTAAGTGGCCCTATGGAAAGCCACCCTGAAAACTGAAGTACTCCTTTGCCTAAGAAGCAGGTGACTGCCACGTCAGAAACAGAGCACGCCGGCAGACACAAATGGTGAGGGCAGCCAGGCAGACAAAGGCAGCTCTGTGGAGGCTTTCTGTTTCCATGGTTATATCCTAGCGCCTTTTCCCAACAGCGCGGCTCCTTCCTGCACACACGGAGGGGGCGTGTGTGCAAAGAAACCCAAGCGGGCAGCTCCTGAATAGCGGCACACTGCGTCGAGACAGGAGAAGATTGGGCCCTAGCCGGAATCACCTGGCTGGGGGGATGAGCTCTGCCAGCCCTTTCCGAGCACTCAGAGAGAGGCTGGGACAATAGGAGGAGGCAGGAGGAGGCGTCAGCAGCAGGCAGGCCGCAGAGGGGAGCAGTCTAAGTGGGAAAAGCCCACGACAGAAGCCCAGCAGAGTCTCCGCCAGGGAGTCCCAGGGGCAAGGAGATATGTACAGCCCCTACGCTCGCAAGGAGAAGAAGGAAGGACGACCCACGCCGGCACCGAGAGGGTTAAACCAACCCCTTCCTTATATACCCCCATCCCCCTCCTCTCCCCACACAACCGCGCCTCCTGAAGAGAGTAAGCAGCACCCTGCTATCCCCCGGCCGGAGGCGGGGAGCAGGGGATGGCACCTCACTTCTCGCTGTTGTTAACGATGACGCCACCGCCCTCCGAGTGGTTCCTGTTCAGCGCCATGTCCTCCTCTTCCTCCTCCCCCGGCGAGCAGCTCGCTCTGCACCCGCGCCGAACGTGGCGGGTGGGCCGGCCGGGCCGGGCCGCGCGATGCATGCTGGGAGCTGTAGTCCGGTGGCGGCCGCCACGGCGGTGTCCGCTGCCGCTCTGCTGGTGCCCCAGCACTGCCCGCTCCCGGGCCAGAGCCCGGCGCAGCAAGGGAAGCACCTCCCTCCCCAGCCTGGCCGCCCCTGAGGGCACCCGCAGCCTTCGGACCCTTCTCCCGCCACGATTTATGATCAATATTAATTTACCGAACGCAACCCAGTTTAGGTTTTAAACTAGCTCAGTTTTCTAATACAGAAGAGGAGGGGTGATCCAAAGAGCCAGTCTCCCTTTTGGAAGAGCTCTCTAACATATTTACAAACCCCATTAATCATTGAGTATGTGTCCTGCTGACCGTATATAACAAAGTGGTTTCAGTTACTTGGAACTCGCCTGAACTTGGAAGCTCGCACTTTTCCTGGGATTTCTGCCCTCCAGGTGCTCTGGCACAGCAGCGCTTTGCGGGTGGGAGTTCACAGAGCATCCCGACAGTGATCACACTGACATTTTGTTTTAAAACGCTGTCTTTTGCTGCTGTTTGCACCTCATTTTTTATCCTGAACACATTTCCTGGCCAGCTCACCAGAGAATAAAACCTTTTCCCTAGGAGGCTGTCCGGTTTTGTTTGTAGGAAGGAGCTGTTCACACATCTCATGCAACCGCAAGTGATTTTAACACTCTTTGGTAGGATCTCCCAGGGAAAAGCCCCAAATTAAGTGAAGCGGAGACAAAAATGGACTTCCAGAACTTGGCTGGGCAGAATCCAAACGTTTGGTAGAGTTTAATAAAAATCATCCCACATACATGGTGGTACTGCGCATAAAATGAAGCTTAGCCCCTTAAACAGCAAAGATGTTTGCTCTGTTTTCAACCATTTTTTAATTCACTTTTGACCCACAATTAATGTTTCACACACTTGCAAACGTATTTTTGAGACCAATGTTGGCTGCTTTCCATGCTGGAATCAATCACATCCTAAAATTACCCCTTTATATTGGAAAGTATTGAACTGGAAGGGCTAACCAGTTGCCCTGTGAACAAGTCAGGACTGTGTCTGTCTGGAGGGAATCTGGGAGCAGGAAAATCTCTGTGAAAATTTCTTTGCAGAGTTACAGTGAGGGTCTAATCTCCTGCCTCCAGGTGCACAAGCAGGAGGAGCTCTTAAAAAATTAATGTTTGCATGATTTCATTAAAAATAGGAGCCCTGCAAAACCAATCAACACTTTTGAAGGGCTTCTCATAGCAATAACTGTCAACTGTATATCAATAATACACAAATATTTATTAAGAGCGTATATTACCTTAAATTTTACCTTCTTATATAGATTTGAGCTTTTCCCTGCAGGCTTTGCAGCTCAGCCCTGTTTGAGTGCCTGAGAACCAGATGGGGTGTGCGAGCAAAAGCAGAAAAACTACATAATGGAAACCAGCTTTAAATAAATGCAGTGACATAATCTGTATGGTTCTTGGCAGAAAAGAGCGTACTTCTGCTTTTCATATCCACTTTTTCAATAAGCTGTAAGTTTCCCTTTTAAGAAATGGTTATAACAAACGTTCTGATTCCTCTCCTATTAAAGTCAGTAACAGACATCTGCTCAGCTTCCACTGAGGCACCCAGCTGTGAAGCACTGCCACCTCGTATGAGCCAAGACTCCCTGAATAATGTTTCTCTCCTCACTCCAACCAACATTGGTATTAAGAAACACAGCCTTCATTTAGAAAAGGTACTGGTTTAAATGCCAGTATACATGGGAAGATACAGACCTCCTCATCACATAGAAAACCTTGGAAATTTATACTCTAAAAACTGAAAACACTGAGAGAAAAGTGCCTAATCTATTCATCTTTATTATTTCTAGTCTGAGGACCAAGACAGAAGAGAGCACTGAGAAAATTCATTGTTTTGAATTGCCCAGGACTGACAATATTGTTATTGGATTTTAAGATTATTCTGCTCCTTTTACAGTCAAGCAATAAAAATATGTATTTGGCACAATTCCCTTAGACACACTTGGAAAATAAAATCTGTATTATTTTATGCCAGACGTACAGGACACGGAAAAATAAACACAAGATAATGGGACAACTCTAATGGTTTGGTATTTACAGGAAAGACAACCCAGAGTGATGTCTGTACAATATTTAATGGCAAATCATAGTCTCTAACATCATTACATTATTCTCTTACAGTTCTTTCACACACTGTAAAATACAGTATTTGAAAAATCCTAATTAAAAGAGGAACACTCTGTAACAGCAGAAATAACTCAAGGGAACATGGAAAGACTGTTTCAATTGCCAAGTGTTATCTAATCATCTAAAGTCATCATACACCACATTTAGCCCTTTGTTTGCAGCAAAATCATGGACCCAGAGCTGGGTAGCGTACATTTCCTAATCATTCCAGTTTACACCCCATATTATAGGCAACACAGCAAACTCTGGTCCAACACCCTGGGGGTTTGCTCCCGTCTTACATCAGTCAGGATTTGCTTTATGTGTTAAACCACGAGGATTTACAGTGCTTCCAACGAGGGTAAAAGCAAGCAGCAGGAAGGAGACAGTTGGGTAGCACTTCCCAACTGCAATCTATCTACAGGAGCACTCAGAAACCCCCCACAAAGCTGCATATCAGCATCCCAGCTCTTGGGGCAGAGGTGAATTAAGTAAAAGCAGCAGCACAATCAGAAGCAAAGCCCAAACACCAAACATGTCCTCCTGACCTGCTCCCATGTGGTTACAGGATGGAAAGGGATCCCTCCAAACCGTTCCAAACCCTGAAGGAGTTCAGAGACTTGTGTCTATGCATTGGGCAACACAGAGAAGGGAGGTATGTGTGACTTATGCATGGATTTCCCCACAGAGCTATCAATCTGCCTACAGCAAAATGAAACAGGGCAAAGGCCCAGACCTGCTGTATTTACTCTGGCAAAACTCCTCGCTGCAAACGGTGGGAGTTTTGCCTAAATAAAGGAGATTTAGGGCCTAGATGTGAGCCTCCATGCGAAATCTCTTCCTGCAGACATGCAGCAGAGACCAAGATTACCTTCCTCTTCCTCTTGGGAGTTGCATGTCTTCACCCTTCTTATCTGGTAAGGCATTTCTGATACCAAGTCCTCTCCAGTATTACCAATAACAGCAGTGCCACCTGCACAGTGTCACTGCTGACATCTCATGCAAAGGCTGAGATTTGCAGGAGAGTGCCTGGCATGAGGCAAACAAAGCGGTTTTGAGGTAGGAGCTCAGGACACAGAGTGAATTCCCATCAGGACAGAAGCCTGGGCAGCATTCCCACTGACCAAGAAAGGCCAAGATTACACTCTGGAAGCCCTTCCTCTCCTTTTCTCACCATCTGCAGCATTTTAGGAGACACCACATGCAGAGGACAAAGAGAAGGGATTTGCAGACATATCCCAGCGGTGCCCCTCCCAGACCAACTCACCTGCCCTGCCCCAAGTGAGGGGCAGCTGCATTTAGACCCTTCAGTCCCCAGAATAAGAACCCACAGCAGCGGCCATATGCAGGGAACCAGCACCTCTTCCCGTGCCAACAGGAATTGGCAGCACTGGCAAACAAGTTACAATTAAGCAGCTCTTTAAGCCTTAGTGTTTATCTAAACATGGCTTTAATTTTAAACCTCTCAGCTTTGTGGTTGCCTTTTTATTCATGTTCACTTTTTTCCCTTGGCTCGTCTTGAATACTACGATTTCCAGCTTATCTTTTACAGAATATATATATTTCATATATTAAGCTAAATGGGCCATTTTTTATCCCTTTTGACCGTTGATGTGTCATCACCAACCCACTCATACCAGCAAAGAACCTGACCCAATATATTTTCTCTCTAGGTGCCTATTAAACAGCAGTATGATTCTGTAAAGCAAGGAGGCAGGTAGCAAACTAATCCTAGAAAAGATAAGCTTGTGGAAGAGCACACTGTGCTGAGACAGGGGCTGCAGTGTGCTGCCCTCACAGGCAGTATTTCTGTATTTTCCTTCTGGAAAAGCTACCTCAGGACATGTGAACTGGGGTTTTTGGCTCTCAGCCTCCAGTTTCCACCCTTCCCAGAGAGGAAACTTGCTTGAGAGTAGTTTTTGTTAATTGTTACTTATTACCAGAGTCTTAAGTATCATTTAATAACTGATTGATACTGTGCTTTTAATCCATGTGCTCACAGCTGTTCCTAGAACAGGCCATACAGCACCTCTTTTGCAACTTAAAAAACTCCCTAAGCTAAGGGGTGCATTTACAGCTCAAGTAAATGCAGCTGTAAAAAAATGCCCAGGGTACTTTAAGAGTTGGGGGTTAAACAGTATTAAAATCCCTTAAAATAGTAGTGCCATCAAAAATGTTGGGGGAAAATTAGGCTGTAAAGCTTTGGTAAGCAGTTCCCGAGGAACGTGTTTACTAAAAGCGCATCCTCAAAATTGTTCCAAGCTGCTCATTTCACCATCTCAAGGCAAGGAACAGCGTTGCTGCTTCTTGGCAAAATGTTTCTCCCAATTCCCAGCTGGGATTTTTGGCTGCTGTGGGGAACAGCCCCACAGCCATGGGGCTCCAATACACGCAGGCCCACAGCTTTTCCCAAATGAGGCTGGCCACAGACCAAAGTACCTCCTGGCTGTGGTGTGAGGGAAGGCAAAGATCCTCGTTTCATGTCTGCAGCACTAACAGGTGGACAGCCCTACAAGGAGAGGTACTGCATTACTGCAGCATACTCCCAGCCATCCTCTTCTGCATCCCACCCGCCCTGGAGCACCCTGCTCACCCACACCAAGGCACAACAGTGATGCAGGCACCAGGGGAGTGACTGCATCTGCTTTGGGGGCTCACCCAGTCCATGCAGGGCTTGCTATTTCAAAGGCACTTTATAAGGAACATGTGGAAGGTGTTGATGAGCCAGTCCTTCAAAAAACCAGCAGCAACATAGTGACCAAAGTAAGGCACAGTACGGAGCATCTATACAAGTCATCAGAGCAGTGTTAGCAGATATCAAGGAGAGGGACTGGACAGCCTGGCAGCTGGACAACAAACAGCTTCAAATCGATGTGGCACTTCCCCTAAGCAATGCACTTTACCAAGAAAGGCTGTATCGCAGTCCCTGAAAGGGAAACTGAGGGGCAGGGAGTAGCAGAGACTATTCCAAGTTTGCTCAGCAGCCCAGGAGCAGAGCTGGCACTTGGATCCAGTTCCCTCCTGGCTCCCAGCCCATGGCTCTGCCCATCAGATAGCTTCATGCACCCTGGGACGCAGGCAGCACAGAACAAGGATGGCTGTGACAGAGATATACAACACTACCAAAGAGAAGCTGTGATGGCGGCAATACAATGCAAGAGAGACTTTTCTGAGTCCTCCCATGCTCCCACTCTCTGAGCAGTTACCTACGCTTTAGCACTGAAACACAGTCTTTCTTCAGTGGCCCGATCTGCAGGTGGGCATCGACACTCTCCAGGAAGAAGGCTGGCTTCAGCTTGCACAAGAAAAGAGAGGCAAATTGGTGGTTGATCTTGTTCTGGAATGGGTCAAATATACCCTTGGCAAAAGGGGAGACCTTGAGCTGCTGCAGGCAGGTCATCTTGGAGTCCTTGACTCCATAGAAGGTCAGGGCCTTCTCTGAATACTCCAGGAAGACCCCAATTGTCTGGAAAAATGGCTGCTGAATGACAGACTCAAAGCCCCCAAACCAGACCACATAGTTCTGTCCATTCCACTGTAGGCAGCAAGACTTCTCATTTCGCCCCAGGCGGCCACGGGTGTAGGACTCGCGGGGGTCAAAGTCCTCAGCAATGACACCAATGCTGACCCAGCCGTCGATGAGCTCCACCTCCCAGTAGTAGTTGCCCCGATTCATGAGATTCAAACCCAGCACCTGCTCACAATTGATGAACCGGGTGGGGCTTTCTGGGTAAGGGATGGGGCACAGCACCCGCTTAGCCCCTTTGGTGCCAAACAGATGGATAAACTTGTCAGCTGTGTCACTGTCGAGGTCAATGATGAAGGCAACTGTGTGGGTCAAAAAAAAAAAAAAAAAGACATGAGGATGAGGAGGGAAACAGGAGGAAATCTCCCCCCTCCCATCCCACTCTGATCCCCTGCTTCAGCCTTCAGGGATTAGCACGATCCTTTCTGACTTCTACCATCACTTGTTTTTAAATACCATGGCCAATTTCAGCCTATCCTTTGAGGATAAGGCTCTGGAACAGTTGATACCCCTATAATCAGGATGAATACAGGTAACCAGGCAGAGGAGAGAGCAGGGAAGCTACTCAATTAGTTCAACCATGATACCAGACACTGGAGAATCTACCTGACAGAGTGGTTGCAGTAATATCCCATACAAAAGCAGATTTCTGGCAACCACAAACACAACAAGGAGGGACCCCAAGAAGACAGGGGAAAGCCAATCACATAACAACCACAAACCAGCTGCTCCTTGCAGGTGGCTCTCGCTGCCCTATGGCTCCTGTTGGAGCACAGACAGCCCCCAATATGCAGAGCCATATGAGAACTGCCACTGGATCCCAGACAGAGGGGACTCCCAGCAGGAACAGCCCTGGACACATATTGCTGCCAACTGTATTGCAAGCCTGAACCATGGCACATCCAAAGCCTATAGAAGCGGCACAGCAGACTCTGCCTGAGCCCAGGCTTTGCTGCCCAGCTCCCTGTCTCAGTAGATGACCCCATTTTCCGTGTAAAGGCTGTGGGGGGTGCACAGGGTGTTGAAGCCCAAGCCCAGCCCTGTGCTCTCCAGCCTCAGTCCTTTCTGCTCCACTGTCTTTGTGTGGCCACAGAATTATCCCTCTGCTTGCTGCCGCTGAAGCTTACCCTCATCAGAGTCCACAAGGCAGATGCACAAACTCTGATTTAATTTAATGGAGGATCCAATTTGTCAAGGATTGGAAGGCAGCAGAAATTACGCAGTGCACCTATAGCCCTTGTCAGCTGGTCCATCAGAACTATGGACAAGGGGGGAAAAAAAACACCTAAACAGATTATGACTGTTGTCAGGAAAGCAAGGAAGCTTCCTTGTTAGCTGAGCAGTATTTCCCCCAGTGGCGGCAGTGCTCCTGCCAGCTGTTGACTTGGGATGAGCACAGACGGGCATGTGGGAAGGAGCTTGCTGGCTGGGAGAAAGGAAAGGGAAGATGGACCTTAGTAACAACTGTCAAAGCAAAAGTCCCTTGCTTACATTTCAGGAAGTAATCACGGCTCTCCTGGCAGGCGGGACTGTTTAACTTCTCTGGTAATCTGGAGACAGCCAACACTGCAGAGACAGGGACAGAAGGGTTTGTCATTAGCAAAGAAACCGATGCCACAAGCAAGGGTGTTACCGGAGCATCACCGCCTGCCTGACACCCTGATGGTACCCAGCTGCTGTGGGCCTCGAGCCCAGGCCAGCATCCATAGCTCCCCCTGCACATCCCTGCTGGCTCATGTACAGGGAAGGACAGATGCCATCTTTGCCACCTCAAGGAGATGAGCAGGGGAAGCAACAAATTGGCTACAGTCATTATGGCCATCTGAGAAACGAGAGAGAGGAGAGAGCTCAACCTAAATGAGAAAGTGCAGGAGAAAGCTACCTTATCATCTTTTTAACCCTGGTAGGTTTGGGAGACCACAGCCTCCCCCATGAAGAGGATCGTCTGTCCTGTGAAGAGAGTCCCCTTTCATGGGAGGCCTCTTTGGCCACTTGCTGCCCCCCACAGGGCCCTCCCTAACTCCCAGGCTGTTTGCTGCCTCTCCAGTGTCTGTGGAAAAAAATCATAAAACCTCAAAGACAAGGAATAAGCCCAGACAGGAAGTGCACAACACAGCGCAACTGTGCCCTGCAGCTTCCAGGGCTGGAGGGAGAGGGGCCATTGCTCACAGGGGCCATGGTGTCTGCACGCACCTCCCGCCTATGCTGGGAGGACAAAACGTGCTGGGGTGACCTCCAGGCAGAGGGCTGGATGAACACAAACCTTCCTCTATCTCCTGGTAACTCTGCTCATCAATCCCTTTCCCCTGCAAGTGGTCCCACTGTTTTTTGCAGGCAGCGGACAGCACATCCTTCACCACACTCACAGCTTGGGTGCATTTGGTGAAGTTCAGCTCGTTTGGGAAGCTCAGAGCTGGTGAGAGGTTTTCTTCCATCGCAACTTTTAAGGCCTGAAATTCCTGAGCAAAAAAGACAAGTTTCAGGAGCTTTCAAACAAACCAAAGTTGTCTCTTGTTCCACAACCCCACCCTGCCCCAGAGGATTTGGGAACTGGCAGCTCTCAGGACCTGGCACAAGGACAGCATTATGAAAGGGAAGAGAGTGCTTTCCCGGTCACACATTCCTGGCGCCTTCTCTCCACTCCCTCTCAAACCCAGACCCATGCCCAGCTTGCACAGAGCAGCATTCCCCTGCAAACCAGTCTCCTCTTGCTGGGCTGCCAAGGAGGGGAGGATGCGGGATGGTAGCAGTGGGACACCCCAACCTCTTGCTCTCTGCCCCACCTTGTGCCCCAGCCTGAGCAGCACATCAGCTGCTCCTGAGTCACAACCAGGACGGAGATGGGGGCAATGGAAGAGGGTCTTGTCTGCTCGCCCCCCCCCCAGAAGCAGGGGGGAAACAGGACTGTGTCAACAGGAGAGAGACTCTGTAGCCCTCACATCCCAGGGCTCCTGGCATCTGGGTCCACATGAGATGGGACAAATCCCCCAAAAGACCAGGTTATCAGCTCCTTCTCTCTGCTATATCTACCCAGGCACCTGGAGGAAGTAGATGGTGTCAGTTCTGGGGACATTCTCCAGGTTTTGCTTGCACTGGACCAGCTTGGCTCGTCTCTCCTCCTTCCAGCGGAGATCAGCCTCAGCCTCCCCCAGCATGGAGCGCTCCCCTTCCTCGATGAAACTGGCCACCTCCTTCTGGAAGGTTGCCAGGACCTCAGAGGCTTCTGCAAAGAGCTTCTCAACCTTTTCCCTCTCCTTCATGGCAGCACCCTGAGCACAGGGAGAGAGGGTTCGGAGTCACCTGCCACAGGCAAGGGTGCAGAGCCCCCTTGTTCCCTGCCCAGCACCCAGTTCTCAGCTCTGTGGGGTCCTTCTGACACCGTGTAACACCCTTCACCCAAGAGCTCAGAGCACTTCACAATGCAGGTGTCAAGGGACCTGGCTAGGCACAGACTGCTCCACCATGTCTTGTGTCCCCAGGCCATGATGTGTTTGCACAAGGGGCAAAGGGGAACAAAACCCCCATGGGTCTGGAGAAAGAAGCTGCAAGAGCCAATGGATGCCCTGGCACAGTCCTTGCACCAGGTTGCAAATGAAAGCAACCAGAGATGTTGTGAGGGGTAGCAGAGATGAGGAGCAAGAATCCTCAGGGATCCTTGTCAGGGTTACCATCCGTTTGCTCCCTTGTGAACACCACCTCTACATGCCATGCACCCCAAAAGCTCATGGCTGCTCTCCAGCCCAGCAAAGCTGAGCAAACCCATTACAGTCACCTTAATGAGCTCCACCATCTTCTTGGCCTGTGCAATGGTGACTGCCAGCTCCTCCAGCTCATTCTCAGCATCACTGAGGAATTTGGCTTGTTGGGCCTGCAGACACAAAGCACAAACATTGAGCGCCGTCCCCCAACCCGGGGGCAGGGAGGTACATGGGACCCAAGCTCTCCCTAGACTCAACCCTCAGCCCCCTCTCTGACTGACATTGCTACTAGGCTTCAGGTGAAGAGTGCAAGTTGTTTTCCTGGTTTCCTACCCTGTAACATCCAACCTGCAAATACTCCGTCTCGTCTGGGCTGCTAAGGTTGATGCCCAGCTCCATGCTCCCCACCCTGGTCCCAGTTGAAACCAAAGAAAATGGGAATATGAAAGCAAAACCATCAGGCAGCAATTGAAGCAACATGTTCCTAGTGTGTATTCCAAGGCTGGGAAAAATCCACCAGGGACTGGCGTGGAAGCTGAAAGGCAGGCCCAGAGCACGCACAAATGCAGCACTGGAGTCTTCTTCAACATTTCTCCAACCTCCCCTGGAGGTTTTTCATTGGGAGCAAAGCAAACCAGTTAGGGAGCACGGGGTGCTGTGTGGCTGCAAAGGAAGCACGGTCTGAATGCAGTGCTTCCTGACATGCTATTGTTAGCACTAGCATGAGGACAGGTCCCTCAAGACCCTGCAGGGCAACAAGCAGCTTGCCGCCATGTTCAACCCCTCACCCCAGCTCCCTGCAGCACTTGTGCCCAGTGAGGCCACAGAGGTGCTTCCCCTGTCCATCCTTCCCAGCCCATGCAGGTGATGCTAAGCGGTGCTTGCCGAGGCCCGACAGCTCCTCAGATCTGGGAATCACAGAGGCTTTCTATTTTAAGGCACCTGATGACTAATAATGTCAGTAAAAGGGTTTTCCTGCAGTCCCATGAGCTGGTGAGGGAGTGGGAGGTGGCTTGGGGCTGCCACTGTGCTCCCTGCCAGCATGTCCACAGCCCCCTGGAAAAAGCGAACCCTCTCCATATGCCCCACAGCAATGCAGAGGTGCCACCATGCTGCGAGCTTCATAGGCTGTGACCCACAAAGGCCCTGTATGCTCAAGGCAGCAACGCCCATGAAGGCAATACTGAGTTGGATTTGGAGCCCCAGTTTGTGGGTGTGAATTTTCTAGGTGACTCAGCCACATCTGGGAATGGGAATGATGGAAAAACCCTGCTGCCAAAACGCCAGGACACAAAGGGCTGGGGGAGCAGCAGCTGGGCAGGCGGCCAGCACACCAACAAAAACTGCCTTGACAGGGCTGTGGGAACAAGACAGAGAAGGCAAGCACCCTGTGACTATGGGGGTGGCTGCAGTGGGGTGTCCCAGGCACCCTCACCCCCAGCCCCACACCCATGACTGCAAACTTAGCCCCGCAGTGGGACAACCGCCCCCTGGGCTGACTGGCAGCTGCTCTGCCCCAATGCTTGTCCCCATCTCCTGCCCTGTCCGCATCCCACAGCACCCTGTCCCCCGTGCTGAGGAGAGGTCCCCTGGGGGCGGAGAGGGAGAGGGCGACAGCACACACCGTTTGTATGGCATCCTCTGGCACTGCTCCCGCACACTCCACTAGTGGGGATTAGCTTTCCCGTGGGTGCTGCATGAGCCCATCCCAGAGCTGCCCCGCACGCACACCCCACAGCAGGGTCCCACCGGCAGGGGGACGTCCCGCACCCGCCCCGCACGCACCTCCTTGTGCTCGCGCTCCCGCTCGAGGGGCACCACTTCGTGGCCGCGGTGATCGTGGGCGCGGCAGCGAGCACACACGCAGGCCTGCTCGGCGCGGCAGAAGCCGTCGAGGGGCTGGAGGTGGCGAGGACAGAGCCCCTCCTCCAGCCGCCGCAGCGGGGCCACCAGGCGATGTGCGCGGAAGGCGCCGGCGCGCCGGTGGGGCTCGAGGTGGGCCTCGCAGAAGGAGGCCAGGCAGACCAGGCAGGAGCGCGCCGCCGCAGCCCGCGACCCCGCCGGGCACACGTCACACAGCACCGCCGCTCCTTCCTCCGCCGCCGCATCCTCCTCCTCGGCTCCCGGTGCCATCGAGGACCCGGCGGCTGGCGGCGGCGGGGACGAGCCGCCTGCAGCGGCCGCCAGCAGCGGCAGTACCTCACAGAGGGCGCGGTTCTTGCGGAGCCGCAAGGCTGCGGGGACGGGCTCCTGGCAGAGCGGGCAGCGGACAGCCCCGCCCGCCCCGCCGCTGCCGTCGGGGGGGCCCGCCCGCTGGCGGAGCGCCCCCAGACAGCGCTGGCAGAAGTTGTGCCCGCACGGCACAGTCACCGGGTCCTTCAGAAGATCGAGGCAGATGGGGCAGCCGAACGGGCCGTCGGGCAGACCCGGAGCCCCCAGCGCCAGCCGCAGCGCCACAGCGGAGAACGGCGAGGCGCCCCCGGGAGCAGTCTCCATCTCTGAGTACCCAACACCAGCCAGCCCCGCCGCCCGCCCCAGCCCCCGGTCCCGGCGGGAGGCGGGTGGCCGCCGCGCCCCGCCCGCCCGCCCGCCCGCTCCGCCTACCCGCGCCCGCAACAGCCGCTGCCGCCACTCCGCTCTCCGCAGTTGCCGGGTGTCGGCTGCCTCCCGGGGATCATGACCCCCCCATCCCCGGGACCTGGTCCCCAATCACCCACCCCCCTGGGAGGACCCTCTCCCCGGCATCTGTTGCCTTCTGGAGATCCACTTCCCCAGAGGGATGCACTGCTTCCCACTATGGCCTGCTATGTCCTAAAGGATGCATCCTGCTGGAATCTGGACCGTGGTTCTGGTGCCCCCAGGGGTACCTGCTGCACACCTGCAAAATCTCCTGTCCAGGGAAGCTGTTGCCAGCCCATCCCAATCGCCCTTCCAAGATCTGCTGCCCAGATCGCTGGTTGGGTAGGGCTGGGCATCAATTGGCAGGTGGTGAGCAATTGTACTGGGTATCACTTGTGTTTATTGTTTTCTTTTCCCCTTTTAGTGTCATATTCTGTCCCCTTGTTATTTCCCTTATCATCATTATTATTGTTGGTGGTAGCAGTAGTGGATTTGTCTTATACCTTAGTTACTGGACTGCTCTTACCTCAACCCGTGAGGTTTACATTCTTTTGATTCTCCTCTCCATCACTCTGGGGAGCAAAAGGGAAAAAAAGGAAGAGTGAGGGAGCGGCTGCGTGGTTCTGAGTTACCAGCTGGGCTTAAACCAGGACAATAGGTGCAGGTGCTTTCCTACCACCCTCATGCCTATGGCCCCACATCAGCCATTCCCATGTCCAGGAAAAGCTGCAGCACTTAGGTCCTGCCTCTGTCCCTGTCCTTTCCTTCTCTGCACCCGGCAGGCACCAGGCTGGGATGGGAAGGCACCAAAGTGCTCCCAACATGAGGATCTGTCTGATAAACATGGCATCTCCAGACACATCCTGTGTAGAGGATACAACTTTTTGGCTTCCCAGGTCCATGCTGGGCCAAGGTCCCATCTGAGGACACAGCTGGGAGGAGCGTGGAGGTGAGGAGTAAAGGAGGAAACACAGCACAACAAAACACATCTGTCCCTGAAGGAAATTGAGCCTTTTAAACCCTTTTTTTTTCCCCAAAGGAAACAAGCTGATGTGATTCACTCCCCAGGCATCGCCCTGCATGTCCCCAGCACCTTTGAACCCAGTGCCCAGTTTCACCCTGTTAGTCTTCACCAGCATTCTGGGGGAGAGGAGGAGATCCCGGACCTGCGGTCTCACCCTTGGGAAAGCTTCAATCAAAGCTTCAGATTTTATTGTGTGCTGGATCAACCCTGGAGCAGAGCTGTAGGAAACCAGGTTTCCTCATTGCAGTGCTACTGTAAATAAAGCACCTTCTAGTGCTGAGCACAGTACCCAGGGCACCCAGCTCACCCCCCCCCCACCCCCCCCACTGCTTGGTCCCACGGCTTCCACCATCACAAAGGTCAAAACAATAGTAAAATAGGGCTTTACTGGGGAAAATAGCTTTGTACATTGAACAAATGCAGCGTGGCACCCAAAAAAAAGTTGTTCTGCCATGTCCAAGAGTGGCAAGAGGGAAACAGGAGGATTGGGATGAGCACAGGGCTCCCTCCAACAGCACCCTTCTCCACAGCACCCTTCTCTAGGGTTCCCCTCACCTCGAATCTAGGCTTGGGAGATTGGGCAAGGGTAGAAAAAAAAAAAACTCATTCTTTCACCCTCCCTATCTCCCCACCTCACCCCATCTACACCTCACACAGTAACTGGCCCCTGCAATCTTTCCCCTGCCCTAACTGGGCTATCTGCATGATACTTGCACATGCAAATCAGAGGGCTCATTTGTATGTGTGTCCTCATAAGCTCTTGTTAAAACACTGCACCCCACTTGGCACTGGGGTCTCACTCGCACTGTGACAGCCACTGGCTGCAGCTCAGCTATGGTACCAGCCTATGGCTTTTGGTCTAGTTTGCAGAGCCACATGGTTGTGCTGGCTTAATCCTTCCAGCACAGCTCCACTGCTCGCCCCTCACACAGCCAAAAAACGGGATAGAGGGGCTCGGTGAAGACATCATGGAAGGAGTGGATAAGCCATGTCCCCTCCCCAAGCCTGTAAAAGGAGAGGAGCCCCTTGTCATAATCCAGGCTGACCCCCAGGTTCCTACACAGCCGTTCCTGGATTTTCTGCGGCCGGCCCTTGTGCCAGGCCAGGTAGCAATCCTCCAGCACCTGCAGCCCCCATGAGCCCCTGTCCAGACCAGTGTTGAAATTGTGTCCCTGCTTCCGCTCCTGGGGGAGGCTGCGATAGGTCATCCCCAGGACAACGGAGTGGCTGGAGATCTTCACCTCCCAGTAGTGGTGGCCATGGCTGTAGCCCTGCTTGCACAGCACCTGCCAGGGCTCGAAGCGGGGTTCCTGCTCATGCCACCTACAGATGGTGATGGGGCTGTGCTTGGCTTTCCAGTTGCCTTTTGACAGCTCCAGGCACTTGTTGGCCGTCCTGGGATCAAAGGTCAGGTTGCGGTGGTCTGGGAAGAGCAACAGCATGAATGGGGCTGAAATGCTTCATCAGACCTTTATGCCCTTGGCATGATCTTCCCCAGCAGTGCTGTGGTTTAAACTGCATAGGGCTGGCTCCCAAAATAGAAGGGAGCAATCTGTAGTGTGTTTGGAGGGGAGGAGCAGCAGGATGAGACACAATACCTGCCTGCCCACTTCCCAGAAGGAATGAAACAGTCCAGAAGTAGCTGGTGAGGAATGAAGATGCAGCGCTTCCTGCTTTTCTTGCACAGTCTGACTCAAACCCAGTGAGCAGCCATGGCTCTGTCGTCATTTTGGAAGAGATGTGCTTGGTTTTAAGAGCAAGAGATGGGTGTGGGTGGGGAGAGGGGGAGAAACCCAGGCATTAAGTAAGCAAATACGGTACTGTGGGGAGTCATCTTCCTCTGCACTGTCTGCAATAAGTTCTTGAGCCATGGGTATTCACTGGCCGCAAGCACCTCATCTTCCTCCTGCAATACCCCAGCCTGGCAGCTACGCTGAGCTGAGGCTGCTGCCCAGAAATAACTTTGGGTTTTGGTTTTTCGTTGTTTTTTTTTTTTTTTCAATTAATAACCCCAAGAATGTTTTGGGGGGCTTGATGGAAGGAATCTTCACAGGTCCCAGGACATCAATCGTCTTCCTGGCAAGAGTGACATGACCAACATACCCTAAACATTATCCAGCCCTCTTCCTGACAAGTAGGAAATGGGAAAAGAGGAAATCCCTAAGGAATTAGAGTGGGATGGGCCCAAAGAAGACATGAAGGACTGTGGCTGGCAGCACTGGGGCCATATGCCTGGATATGACTGAGGCAGGGCTCTGGACTGGTGCTGTGCTATGCAGGGCAGCTCATGGCCCCGCCTGGGGTGATCACTTGCCAGCTGCTGCACTGCCTGCAGAAAAGCACCATGTTTACATATGGATCATCAGGAACAGAAGGCAGAGACACCCCAGGAAGGTGAAAGGAGAGGATGGGTATGAGGCAAGATCCAGGTCAGCGGCTGACCCAATGCCAGGCACTGGCAGCCTCCATTTTCATGGGAAAGTGTTCCCTGGTGCACCTAATCCTCCTCATGGCCCTTTCCCAGCTGTGCAATATCCCCCAGCCCATCCACCCCAGCCCTGCACCACCATTCTCCGAGTTTAGGGAGAGGGACTGGAAGAACAAGGGAAGGAGCCCCTGTCCCAGCAGCCACAACCAACCTCCCTCGCCTGCTGGGATCCCAGGGGAGTGCTGTCCCTTAGGAGTCCCATGTTCTCCTCACCCTTCAGAAGCTCAGCTCGGAACTGGCAATCAGGGAGGTGGGTTGCCACCTTCACCACCATCTCCTGGGGATGCACTGGGCCTGTGTAGGATGGGGACAAGTATTTTGAGTGATGCCACCCAAAAACCTATTTCTCCCTGGCTTTTGATGGGAGGAGGAAGCCCATTGTATACAAGCCTGGGAGTGGTCACATGCCACTGCAACTTGACACTGCCAGCGAGGAAGAAAGCCAGAGGGAAGCCACCCAGCTTTTTCCCTCCTCTCTTGACATCCATCTGCTGAACATGATGTGTGTCCCCATCCCAACCCTCTGTGCCCAGCAGCCCTGTCCCCAGAACAGTGACATGGGCCAGGCAGTGATTCAGGATGACTTGGAGCCCTTTGGGGTGGCTCTGCGATCAGACAAGTTACCTTGGACAATAGGGTCAGGGGCTTTGGGGGCCACAGAGCTGGGCAGGTCCTCCAGCAGAAGCCTGGAGATGTTGTTGAGGATCTCGGTGATGGGCTTGACCATGCCAACCACATCAAAGTCCATTGGGAGCAGCACCTCTGGGCTCTCCAGAGATGGTAGCAGGGGGAACTCCTGTGGACAGACACACAGATATGCATGCACTGGCCTAAGGAGGATCAGAAGCTCCGACTCCCAACCACACACTCTCCAGTGGGTGATGGGGGCATCCCCAAAACATTTGCTGTCAGCTGTGGCTGGTGCGCAGGGGTCAGTTGCAGGGTGAGTGTGAAGCCGTGGGGAGCAGAGGAGCTGCAGCATAAGACTGTTTTGCTGGTGGTAGAAGAGCCTTGCAGAGTGGTTTGGGGGTGGGAGATGCTGCCCATGGCCCTATGTGCAAGCACCATCCACTCCAATCCAGCATTGTCCCCCAAATTTTCAGGGACCCCTCCCAAAAACAGCACTTCCCTGCAGCCCCATCACATCCCAAAGCCAAGCTGAGGATGTGTTTCTCCTGGGGAATGGGGATGACCAAGTATCTGCCCTCACCAAAAGGGCATGGGAAGGGACATAGCACCAGGAAGATGTGGCTGCCCATCCCTGGCAGTGTTCAAGGCCAGGTTGGACAGGGCTTGGAGCAAGCTGCTCTAGTGGAAGGTGTTCCTGCCCATGGCAGGGGGGTTGGAAGTGGATGAGCTTTAAGGTCCCTTCCAACCCGAAACATTCTGTGGTTCTGTGTGTGTGCAGTTCTGTGGGATGGTACCTGGAGGAAGGTCCTGTTGTCAGGGCAGCCCAGGAGTTGCTGAACCCTCTCCCTGCGCTGGCTAAGAATGTCCAGGCGGTCCTTCAGGCGGTTCCAGTCCTCCCCCATACGTCCCAGTGCCACAGCCTGCTCTTTCTCGATCTTGGCCACTGTCTGCCACTGGCAATCCTCCAGGGCTTTCTTCAGGAGGGCAAATTTGCTCAGAATGACCAATTTGAGCCCCTCGGAAGAGTCCTGGGTGGAGAGGAGGCATTAGAGCTGGCACACTTCCACCCCTGCACCTGGCACAGAGGCAGCCACGGTGTTACCTTGATGCTGAGTGTTTGCTCCTCCAGCTTCTGCATCACCTGCTTGATCTTCTCTGATTCCTTCTGGGCTTCTTCCATGGACTCTTTCAAAAGAGCCTGTGAAATGAAGCACCAATGTACTGTGGTGCAGCATGCTGCCCCCTACCCAGCACCAGGGAGCCCTCTCCAGGCTGCATGACAAGGCCCACAGGGAAGGAGAAGGCTTGAGAAGGGGAGAGGCTGCATCTAGAGTCAGAGAGAAGTGAAATCCTAGGCTGTTTTTCACCCCTTTTTTAACTTTTCCCTCTAGATCAGTGGGTCACAAATACCTACGGCACTGTTCTTCTGGTGCTGCTGGATTTATTTAGCTCTCTGCTGCTCTTGACAGCCTCAGATTTGTCAGGGAGCAGCTGGGTGCTGTTGACACAGAATCATTGAATGGCTTGGGTTGAAAGATACCTTAAAGCTCATCCAGTTTCAACCCTCTGCCACGGGCAGGGACACCTTCCACTAGAGCAGCTTGCTCCAAGCCCCTGTGTCCAACTTGGCCTTGAACACTGCCAGGGATGGGGCAGCCACAGCTTCTCTGGGCACCCTGTGCCAGTGCCTCAGCACCCTCACAGGGAAGAGCTTCTGCCTAAGAGCTCATCTCAGTCTCCCCTCTGGCAGGTTAAAGCCATTCCCTTGTCCTGTCACATCTGTCTGATCAAAGCACATGCCAGTCCCCCTTTCAGCTGAGGCCAGGCACAGGGCAGTACATGGAGGCTCACCATGTCCCCACAGCAGGGCACAGGACAGCGAGGTGGATGTTGTGCCATGCCCGAGCTGCCACAACTTCCCCTGCTTGACCCTTCTCATTGCCTCAGTCTTGCCACCCATCATTCTCACCTGCTGTTTTGAGTGTTCCTCCTCAAAGAGCACCCGTTGGTGCCGCTGGCATTGTCACACCGTGCAGACACAGCAGATACACCGCTGCTCATCCTTGCAATACAGCTCCAGCAGGTGCCTATGCTGTGGGCACAGCTCACCGTGGGCCATCTCACACCTGTGTCCAAGACCCACGCCACGCCATCCCGTGCCAGCTCCACCACGCTGCACAGGGTGACATTCTTTTCCAGCTCTGGCCGCTGGTTGAAGCCCCTGCGGCACTCAGGGCACGCGTAGCCGCTCTCTGCCCAGGCAGGCTCCTGTTCTTGCTTTTTCCAGTGGTTGCTGATGCAGAGCTTGCAGAAGTTGTGCCCACAAGGCAAGGTCACAGGCACCCTGAAAAGCTCCAGGCAGATGGAGCACACTAACTTCCCCTCCAGCTTCTTCGAGGTCGGTGATGGCATCCTGCCTGCACCACAGATCAGGGTGACAAGCTGGGGAAATAGAAACTTAGTTGCTCAGAAGAGGAGCCGAGAGGCGTGTCAAAGCTCTGAGCCAGGCATGCTCTTAAAGGAGACACCCAGTTGGTGCACCCTCACCGTACTGGCTTATGCCACACACCTGGAAGATGGGGAGGGTTACAGCTGCACCTCTCAGGGAGAGGGAGGGCTGTGAAGTACAGCAGGAGGCCCTGGAGAGAATGAAACACTGCAGCACCACCACAGGCAGACAGACACAAGTGGCTGACAAGCATCAGAGCAATGTGTATTTTGGTGCATGCATTGCATGGGTATACATAGGATGTATAGTTTGATTTTTGCCCTTTTTTGCCCTTTGAGGGAACTTCCTGGTATCCTCATGTCTCCTGAGCAGAGAATAGCAGTCCTCCTTGGCAGAGAGACTGCAGCACAGTGGTCCTGACATCATCCAGCCACAGAACCAACAGAGAGGGGCACCCACTGCTGCTGCCGCCACATCGCTTGCTTCTGCAGTGACAAGGGCTATGATACATGCCAGCAGCCAGACATGGCTACATTCTGCCTTTGCATCTTTCCATTTTAAACTAGAGGTCCTGCTGTTTGCACATGCCCATGCACACCCACCACTCCTTTTCCTACTAAGTTCCTTGCAACATCTGTGCATGTCAGTACTCCGAATATAGGAAAGGTATCACCTGAGCAACCTGCCTCTGCTCAGGTAGAGTATTCTGCCTGGAGGTGATAGTGATGCCCATGCACTGCGTACCTCTACCCTGTCTTCAGGAGAAAAGCTTCCAACCTTACAATCTAAACCTTATCTCCTTACTTTTGGAGATGTGATCTTCAGGGAGCTGGCAAGTCATAGAACCACAGACTGGTTTGGGTTGGAAGGGACCTTCAAAACTCATCCAGTTCCAACCCCCTGCCACAGGCAGTGACACCTTCCACTACTGCAGGTTGCTCCAAGCCCCTGTGTCCAACCTGGCCTTGAACACTGACAGGGACAAGGCAGTCACAGCTTCTCTGGGCATCCTGTGCCAGTGCCTCACCACCCTCACAGGGAAGAATTTTTCAGCACAATCTCAGTTGTTTGCTGGAAGCTCTTATTTCCTGATGAAGGGGGAAACTTCAGAAAAAGTTACTGTGAACCAGAGCTGGGAAGAGGCAGTTGCAGCAGCATGTTGGTATTTGGGTGTTTGAACATGTGATCGGAGGATTCAGAAAGAGCCCAGCAGAGAGCAGAGTCTCTCCACTGGAAACATAAATCAGTGAGTAAAAATGCAAAAGGTCAAGGTGGGTGATGAGGCTCAGGGTGACTCCAGTAGGCATGGAAACCAGATGAGGTCTGGTGGCTGGTGCTGCTGTGGCACTGGGGAGCAACACGAAAGAGGGCAGATGCTGCAGGGCCCTGTTCTTCTGCTTGATACCAATCAACGTTTTGTACACCTGCTACTAAGCAGCGGGTCACCTGGTACCAAGAAATAAGCAGTACATCACAGCAAGGAATGCAGGGTTTGAACACAGTCCTGCCCCCCAGAACTTTGTACAGTAATAGTTAACAAGGTATTCCAACTCTGTCCCTAAGTGGGGGTAAAAATTTGACGCAACATCACAGGGACAGATGGATGGGTTTGTACTCCTCAGCCTCCCTAGAAGGGACACCTTTTGGTAGGACTCATGTCCTCGGCTATGCCAAGTGTTTTGACTCAGGAAATTAAGGTTGTTATGTGATTGTATTGTTAGTCCACCCCTCTGAGATCCTCCAGAGATCCTTCATGCCAGCTGGTCAAAATACTAAGCTCTTCCCAATAAAGACATCTCTCACCAGCCTCACTCAGGGTGTTTAATCAAACTCGTCTCTAAGAGAACTGCACAAACAAAAGCTAACAGTCCTAAACTGCAGCACTCCAAAAGAAGAAAATCCAGGCTGGCCTGGTTCTTTTCATTCCATGAACAGGCAGCAGTGCAACTGTGATCTTTGCAGAGAAGCAAATCAAGGCATCTCTGGGGGGACTCTACCCTGACACCCATACTGATCAGATCTCCTATACAACGAGTAGCAAGGTTTCAGTCTGGCCATGGATTTGCTTTCATCCATCTTAAGTAGCCTTTTGATCACGCAGCTGCCAGCAGTGCAAGCCCTGTCGCCCCCAGCTGTTCAGTTCCCAGCGCTGCCAGCACAGGTGAACCAGTAGCTGGGGGGCGGAGACTTTGTTGTCTCCCTCCAGAGGTGCAGATGCCCCCAGCTGTGTGAATGCAGGAACACTGGCAGCTCCATTTGCCTGGCCGGCACCCAGCTTATGCCCGAGTGCTGCAAGAAGTGTCTGGGTCCCTAGTAAATGCCGTAGGTGGGCTCCTGAGTGTTTCGGTATCTGTCCAGGTACCTCAGAGGCTGGTGACGCGGGAACTTCAACTGCGGAGGATGGTAAACGGGCGGCCGCACAAATTCAAACACAGGCTCTCTCATATCTGGAAAGGAGTAATGCAGAACGTCAGCAAGATGGCTCAGTCCCAAACCTCAGACATCCCCTTTCACCAGCAAGGGCCCCCATGTGCACACAGGACCAAGGCTGGTCAAGCACATGCTGGTGAAGGCTCTGTCACTGTTACTTTAAAATGCTCAATCAAAACATTGAGAGGCTGTTCTAGATTGCTGTTTGTTTGGGGGATGATGGCTCAGTAAGTACCCAGTCTGTGCTGTAACAGATTCTAAACAACTGCCAAGAGCAAGTGCGAGCATCCAGTCACAGCTCACTCAGCAACCCTGTGCACCTACTCCCAGGACCGTGTCCCAGTCCACCAACAGGCTCTCTTCAGCACCTCTGCACACTGCATTGCTTACTGAGAAGTTGATGGAAGACCTCAGTAACGGAGCTGTCCCACTGACACTGGAAAAATGCCAGCCCTGCTGGGGTCATTGCATCCTCGTGCTTTCTGTAGAAGTCAAATGTGCTAAAGGTTCGCATCTTGAGGCTGTGGCTGGAAAACAAGACATAAGCACAACATCCGAGGTAAACCTCTTTTCCTGCAGCATCATGGTAGGCAACTACTTCCCCACATAACCACCGAGTCTATAAAACAGAGGTATATAACCTCTTTTCTTCCCTGTGAGGGTGCTGAGGCACTCGCACAGGGTGCCCAGGGAAGCTGTGGCTGCACCATCCCTGGCAGTATTCAAGGCCAGGTTGGACACAGGGGCTTGGAGCAACCTGCTCTAGTGGAAGGTGTCCCTGCCTGTGGCAGGGGGTTGGAACTGGATAAACCTGAAGGTCCCTTCCAACCCAACCTTTCTAGGGTTCTATGAAAAGGAAGTCACCAAAAGTAAACCTCACAGCTTCTCCCGCTCCATGCACATTCCTGCCCCATGCAGGACAAACCACTTTCTTAACAGCCTGTTTAAAGAAACAGGACACCACAGTGCTTGCAGGGCTGAGACTGTGGCTTCAGGTGACACAAAACCTCAAAACAACTCCAAACAACCCTGCAGATTAAAAGGAACTGCTCTCCTACAGCAGTAACAACCATGTGATCATAGCACTAACAGCCAAGCCAATGGAGTGCAAAACCGCCCAGCAAAAGCTTGAATTACCACGGCATCGGCCGAACATCCTCACTGAAATCTATGGGGCAGTCTTGCTTGAAGAGGAGGAAGATGAAGCGATGGTAGCCAGTTCCCATGGCAGGGAAGGGCGGCAAGTAGTGGCAGATCTCCTTACCTGCCTTAAAGTTGTTGCCTGGGATATTCGTCCTGAACACAAAGAAGTTTACTTCATATACCCATTCATTTCCCTCCATTAGAATCAGCAGACTCAACCCAGAATTGCAAATCACTCTATGCAGCATTTTGATGTCACTGGTGCCCCTTTTGACAAATGAACAGATAATAGAGGCTGCTTTCAGTGGAAGAAAATTCATACCCAGCGCTCTGAATGCCAAACAGCAACAACACCTGGAACGGTGTTCTGCATGTTTAGCAGAACCCAAAACACAGGAGCAAAAAAGCTAATGGCAGGAGTACCAAAGCAAGCCACTGAACTGCTGTAGTAAATGTTTATTCCCCAGCTATGCTGGAAGAGTTTCTACCTCCTGTGCCTGGCCTTTGCCTGGGCTTTCCCTGGGCTAAACAGTACATGCCTCTGATGTACTCACACCAGCCAGTGGAGGTACTCCGAGTCTGTGTCTCTTAGATGTCCATCTGCAAACACAAAAAAAACAAAGAAAGGTGACCTAGGGGCACCCTGGTGTTTGTATCAACCCCAAAGAGTAAACGCTTTGAACAGAGGGTGCAGCTCGAGACCTCCCAGCATTCCTCTCCTATCACAAAAGTAACTCATTCTAATCGGACTGGGATTAAAATGAGGAGAAAAAACTCTACAGATGTAATTCCAAGACTAACAGAACTTCTTGACCACCTGCTTCACTTCGCTGTGCCTTGGTTTCAAACAATGTCAGCTAACCTGCCTCCCAGGCAGACTGCCAAGGGAGAGAGGAGTTTGGCGGTAAACAAAAGATGGGAGCCAGGGAATTGTTTCCTCTACACTGTGACAGAGGTTTTGACGTGTCACTGTCCATCTCTCAGCCAGAGATCTGGGGAGGCTACAGCCTTTTCTGCATATGTAATATGTCCCTGCTTAGCAGGTATCACATCATCTCTGGTTATTTCCCAAAGGAAACAGAAGCTAACCAAAAGCAGAATGAAATAACCAGTTTAAACATGTTTTGTTAAAGAACTCATTACTCACCTGGATTTGTGAGCAACAAGGTCCAGAGGGAGCCTTTATCTGCCTCATATGACACTGCAGGGGGACCAGAAGCCTAAGAACAACATAAAAAGAACATACATTGCTCAAACAGGTTTTATTAAGACCAGATCACAATTTCCAAGGCAAAGAACATGAACTTCTTGTGGACAAGGCCAGGATGCAACACAGACATGCCACCCAGCTTCACATGGAGAGCCCCCTGGAGTGTTAATAAACATCAGCCTGCTGGTAGACAGTGATCCTGTTGCAAAGCTCTGTCCTTCTCATGTCCAGGAAACAGATTTCCTTCATCACAGAGGAAATACCCTTTTAAAAGAAATCCCCCAAAACAAACAATGCCTGTTAGAAGCATCTGACAGAAACACAGAGGCTTCCCATAGGGTTGAGGTTGCTCTCTGCTCCCCTCACACACCTCTGATGGAGTTACCATGTTCCCATAGTATACTGGCACGAGGTGCTCATCTTCTTGGCTGTACTCCACCCTCAAGGTAACCCAAGGGGTGAACGTGGCTCCCCTGAACAAGTCACGAAATATCCCGCAGTGCTCTGCTACACGCTGCTTGTGGAATGGGCCACTGCTCTTCTCCCACTCAGCTCTGACTTCGTTGAGGGGAATCAGCACTGCAAGGAGAGAGAAACGCTGCAGGAGGCAGCTGGGCACCCACTGCAGCCAGGGCAGGGAGAAGAGGTGGTAGGGCACAGACCAGTCCGGAGCCGGGCTGCTCTTTCCATCTCCGTATTCTGGTGGTTCTCCCTCAGGATCTTTTTTCTTTTCTTGATTTCTTTTGCCCGCAGCAGCTTATCATGTGGCAAACTGATGTCAGTCTTTGGCTCTTCAGAAAGGGATGAAAAAGTTATGTATGTAAAAAATGTGAACACCTCAAACACAAACCCCTTGCAGCACCCTAGAGAGTGTGAGAGAGATGCAAACTTCAAGACACAGAGGACTCAATTCTACCACCTTCCCCCTCCATCTCTACACTTTTGCTCCTTCCTTCCCCAACTCATAGCATTCCCAGTCCTGTGGGTTTCCCAACTGGTGAGCAGGTCTGGTCGCTGGGGATGCTCAGCAGAGTAGCCGAACTGTGCTACTTGCTGCAAGTCTAAAGCTCTAGGCCCTGGGATTCCCACGAATCACTTTGTTACTCTGCTCAACATCTTCTGGGAGGTGGCCAGCCTCCCTCCGTTCAGAAAACTGTAGTCCCCTTTCCCCTGAAGACGTTTGTGCACTGCAAAGTTTGAAACAAAACAAACAAAAACATCAGAACAGGACAAGCCTCGTGCCAAAGCACATAATCAGCTCTTTGCAGAGACACCCCCAGTTTCCTGAGCTTTAGCAGCAAAACCATTATGTGCAGCTCCTTCCACGAGTACCTGGCTGGGGACTGGTGTGCTGCCGGTACGTCTTCCACCACCGGGGTCTCCTGCTCTCCTTTTCCGCCAACTTGAAGTAACGAGTGAAACTGCGGTATTTTTCCAGCGCTTCCAAGTTGCTGACGTCGATATGTTCGTTGGGCATCGGTCCCAGCGGGGCTGCCCGCTTGCAGAGCGCGGCTGGAAGCGAAGAGAGTTTCCGTTTCATACACAGGACGGGAAACGAGACCGAGGGAGCCCGCGGAGGGCGGAGAGCAGGAGCACGGGCCGGGCCGGCGCCACCCCAAGCCCGCTTGGGGAACCCAGGCGTCCGCGAGCTCTCCTGCCCCCCCTCCAGCCCTGAGCGGCTCCCGCTGCCCACCCGTGCGGAACCGCAGCTCCCCGGCCCGTGTCTCACCGGCCGTGCCGAAGGCCCGCGCACCGCACCGCGCCGCCATCAGCAAAGGCGCCGCCATGATGTGAGTCTCCCGCAGAGGAAGGCCCCCGTTACTATAGCGACAGGGGCTCCCCCCCCTCCGCCCGCGCAGGGTCTGCCTTGAAGGGCCCTCGCTGCCACAGCAACGGGGCTGTCGCTGCCAGAGCCTGGCTAGAAACGTCCTCCCAGCCTCAGGGTGACGGGCTCTTCCCACCACCGGGACGCCGCTCCCCGTCCGCGCCCTTGCTCTTCGGTCCGCAGCGCTGGGACCCTGAGCGGAGCGAAGCGAGCGGCTGGAAGCAGAAACCCAGCCCAGCAGCCAGGTTTCTTCAGGAAAAGGCTCTCGAAGGAAAAGCTGGAGCTGCCAGTGAGCTGTGGAATGGCCTCGGGGTGCTGCGGAATGTCATCGAAGCCCCAGGGCAGAGCCGCCACACAGCTCTTACCTTGCCCAGCCTTGCAGCCAGACCAGACCTCCTCCACCCCCTCTAATGGCTTGGGTTGTCACAGTCCTACGCAAGAGCCAGCAGCATACCAACTGAATCCTGCCCACAAGGGCAACTGCCTCCCAGGAAGTGCCAGTGGCACTGGCCTGTGCGGTGGAGGCCAGACAAAGTGTGTCCTTGCAGCCTCAGGGATTTCACACTCAGAACATGCCAAGACTGTTTTTAAAGAAAAGGACAGTTCCTCCATGAAAACTCGGATTATTTAATGTTTGTCGTTCCCAGCCCATGCAGAGGGCATGGTGGCCTCCTGAAGAAGATGGACACAGCCATTCACAGAGTAGTGTGTAGGGCTGCCTCCTCCTCACTATGACAGGGTTCAAGCGGTGTAGGGCGCTTTCTTCAGGCTCTCCAGGAAGATACGCTCATTTTCTAAGAAACGGTGGTCCTGAGAAGGATGGATAGGATTGCTATCAGAGAGCCACAGGAACGGGGTCACAGTTCAAGGTGTCACTCATGAGTAAGGGGAGTGTCCCAAACCCTCTTTCATGTGGGCAGGTACCTGTCTGTGGTACCCCCTGGGTGTAATGCCCCACCTCACAAGCCCATAACCTCACACAGAGGAAGTCTCAAAGAGCATCCCTGCCTGGAGAAGGACCCATCAGGGAGCTGACAGGAGAGGACGCGGTTATCACAAAGCCAGAGTCCAGCAGAACTAGTTTCTTCCACCCAGGGATGGGGTGAGAAGAGGGGCAACCCCATAAAGTGAAGGATATTTTCCATGAACCCAAGGCAAGGTGTGAGGATCCACCCATCCTTGCTTCTGGTATTGCCCCTCAAGATGCCAGCCCAGCAGCTCAGAAATGATCTCAGGAGACCCTCCAGCCTATCACTACCAGGCTTCATCCAGCCTGCTCCAACCCAGCTGATTGAAGCTCCCTCCACCCGTGGTCTCCTACCACCTCACCTGCTGGGCCCTGTAGTTCAGCAGCAGCAGGTTGATGTAGCGGTCAGTGGGGCTGGCCATGGACAGGGCTTCCTGGATAGGAGGCAGAAAGCCTGTAACATTGCGTAGTGCCTGCGCTGTTAAGGAGACAACAAAGCATCCCTTTTCATTTTCTGCTGCCTGCATGTCCCTGCAGCAGGGTCCTCCCCAGCTCCCAGTGCAAGCAGGAGGTTTAACCCACCTGCCTCACCCCTCCTTCTCCTTCCAGGCAATGCCCTCACTCAGAGAGCACAGACGAGCTCTTTCAGAGGACAAGGAGGCCAAGTCATATCTGAGGTTTATATACAGGGGAACTAAAACAGCTCTTAGGAACACCTCAAGCCTCCTGAGAAGCGGAATACAAGTGCAGCTGCCCCCCAGCATGTCGCTTCCCACCAGCAGCATGCAGGAAGTCTTACGCAGTGTGGTGGAAAGGCCTTTCATAGCGGCACCGAGGTCCTTGCCCGTAGTCTGCAGCATCACAGGGTTCCTGGGTAGCACCTCACGTAGCTGTTCAAGCTGTTTCCTCTGGCGAGCCATGCTCAGCCGCTCCTGCCCCATCCCCAGGAGAGAAGCTGTTGGGAAAGGTCCAGGCCCCTGGCATGGCAGCCCCAAGCCAAGAAGGGAAGATCTGGGGCATTTGCCTGGTGCAGACGCTGTTCCTGCTGCTTTAGCTGCTCCAAGTGTTGGTGCATGACCTGCAGCCTGCTCTGGTGCTCGGACTCTACCCTGCGTGCCTCCCGCAGGGCTCGCTCCCCTTCCTCATACTTCTGGGATGAGAGCTGCAAGACAGAGCAGCTGGAGAGGCTGGGGACAGGGACCCTCGCTGCCCTGAGGCAGGGCTCCTTTGTGCATCCCCTTGTCCCCCTCCCAGGACAGGATTAGGATTCACGACTTTGGGAGGGATGGGAAACCCCAGCTTTGTTGCTGGCCCCCATACAGTTGTGAATTGCAGTGCAGATGCTCCACTTGCCTTGGTTGTGCTTTTAATCTCCTCCTCACGGTTCTGGATGCACAGTGCGGCCCTGTTTACCTTCTCCTTCTCACGCCTCAGCTCCTGCCATGCTTCTTCCAGCAGCTCCCTGTCCCTCAACAAGTGATTCTCCTTCACTTTCAACTCACGGCTCTGGATCTTCAGCTCTGCCTGCTCCTAGCATGGGCATGGGGAAAACTAGTGCATCACCAGCCCTGCTGAGCTTTTCATGTGTGCCAGTTTTGGGTGCAGAGCAGCACCACCAGGCACCCAAGCAGTATCCTCATACACCCACCTTTGGGGGGCAGGGGTGGCACAGCTTGGACTGTACAGATAAACAAACACACTCCTTCCCCAGAAAGGACAGAGCCTCCCACCATGTTGCATACCCTAAAACATGCTCAAGGCATGGCACTTTGTCAGCAGTGGAAATATTCAGCCTGAATGTAGTATTTTTCACCCTTCTAGTCCTTACAAATGCAGCTTTGCCACGCTGCCTGTGCCACATATTCCCTCTGGACAGCCCCAGTGGGGAGCAGAACTGGCACTGGACACATCTCCATGGTACAGGGAGATTTTGCTTTACCCAGCACAGGGGTTTCATCTCGCCAGACTTACAACGGAGGCAGCTGCACCTGGGCTGGCTGCCCAACCTCCTCACCTGCAAAGGGGAGACAGAAACTGATGCTTCAGCCCACCTCTAAAACAGGCTGGCGTAGGCTGTTCTGGAACAGCTGGATTCTCAGCACCCTGAGTCAAGTCTCGGTCTTAAACACCTGAAGGCAATGCTGAATGCCTCCCCACAGGCAGGACCCACCTGTGAGCCTGCCAAGCGGCGCTGGAGGCCACAGGAAGGGGCTCTACTGTGGTACCTTGGCCAGGCTCATGATGGTGCTCTCTCTCTGGGAGGCCATCTGCAGGGTTCGGTCCATATCACGCTTCAGCTTCTGTCGCTCCTCCAGCAATGCACTCTGGAGAGCATCGCAAGAGAGGAAGAGAAAAGCACCAAGTCCCATTTGCCACAGTATTTTTCTCCTTTAACTCATCTCTGCCACCAAACACCACACAACGTCTACAAGCTTGTTTAAGCCTATGACACCTGTCATGAACCCTGCATAGAGAGCTCTGGCCCCATGCTCCTCAACCAGTGCGCATCATGCACACACAGAAGCCTCTTGCATCTGTGTGCAAGAGGGTTGGTCTGACTGTGATTCACTGTGAGACCAGGTGTGGGATTGAGGAGGCAGAGGGCAGAGGAAGGATGCTACAGCCCAGTATCCAAATCTCTCTTCTACACTGCAGCCCTGATCAGACTCAAGGGACATGCAGAAAGCACCTGGAGATGTCTGCCCCTCCTCACCTTCTCTCTCTCCAGCTCTGCTCGCTCCATGGAAAGCTGCTGGGTCATGCCTCGCCGCTGCTCCTCCAGTGAGTGTTGCAGCAATTCTGCTTTGGATTGCTCTGCCACCAGCCTCCATCTCTCCTGGGTTCAGACACAGAGGAAAGACAGATGCCACTCACAGGCTCCAGGCCAGGGACTTCCAATGGGCAAGGCATACATCCCACACCCAGACAGGAGGGCTGACCTGAGCAACAAACACAGTGCAAGCTCACCTGCTCACTCAGCCTGGACTCCATTCTAGTGATAACCTCCTGGATTTGGCTCCGCTCCTCCTCCATGTCCCTCTTCTGTTGTGACAGCCTGTCCTCGAGCACTGGTGAGAGGAAGCAGCAGGGCCCTGAGCAGCATGAGGTGGGAAGCCCTCCTCTGTCTGCACCACATTCACAGAAAAGCTGCATGTGTTTATGCTCATCACCTTCTGTGCATCCCCAGGACACTGTTTTTGAAATGGGAGACCCGGAGGTGTCCAGTGACCAAAACAGGCCTTGGCCCCCAGCTTCTTTGGCTGACTTGGGGCAACTTCTCCCTGTTTCCTGGGTGTCCCCAGCCCTGGCAGGGATCCTGCAGACATTCTGGCACATAGGAACAGAAGTACCTTTGAGCTGCTTGTCCCACTGCTGTGCCAGTTCCTGGGATGTGGTTTGGTGCATGGCCTCCACCTTGTGGGAGAGGTCATGCAGGTTGCTGGAGAACTTCTCCATCTGCTCGATGATACCATTCAAAGACCTGCGGAGAGGAGGGAGGGGACACACTTAGTCTCACCGTGATGGAGAAGGAGATGTGTGGTGGGCCAAACGCTGGGCAGCCCTGCCCTGAACCTCTCTGGGTCATGGCAGAGCGGTAGGACAGAGCTGCTGCTTAGAGTACCATAGGATATTAAACAGATCAGCACCCCTGGAAGCAGTGGGTGGGAGAGGGGATGGCACCTCCTGCCATGGTTCCATGCTGGTTCCCGCAGAGCGGGGAACTCCATGGCCAGGGACTCATGGGGATATGGCACCACGTGTCAGCACCTGGTATGTGAGGTCGAACTGGTCACTGCATCAATCTCCAGGTCTTTCAGCCGTTTCAGCTGCTGGAGCTGCTCTTCGTAGTCTTTGCGCATCTCCTGGACCAATGTCCTGCAGGACACAGGGAAGGAGCCCGCCATGGGCTGTTTCAAACCAGTGCTCCCCATGACAGGAACTGTGGAAGAGGCCTGGTTGTGGGGCTGAGAGCCAGGTCCCAGGAGCTGAGCTGGCATGGCAGTCTGTTACGGGGCATCCCATGACAGGCACCCACATTTCAGTGAACCACTTTTGGCAGTTATGGGCATCTCTACCAAAACCTGATTTCTCACTGACCCAAACTATGTGGTCAGCAGCGACTCACTGACCAGAATAAAAGGGATCTGGGGGAGGTAAAACGATGCATTCAGCATCTTTCAAAGTTCAGAGCATTCACTTTAAAATAATGTGCCCAGCCAGATCTCCCCATTTCTACCTACAAAGCAAATCCTCATTCCAAAAGCCACTGAGCTACCCATAACCCAGTGTTTCTAGGCTCTGACTTCTCCATTCACTATGTTCCCAAACTGCTCCCTGGTTCCTTTGGTAAGACTGGGACTACCAGCCCCATGTGTGCTGCTCATGCTGCTCTTACCCAGCATCTTCACCCGGCTCCGGCCCAGGGAGGTCACAGCAAGGAGCAAGTGTTACTTTCATGGCAATACCCATCACCCTCCACTCAAAGTGTACACAGGGATTTAGGAGCAGACCAGTGTCACTGCGTGCATGGGGAAACATGCAGATACCCTGCAGTCTGAGCCCTGAACCCCCCTGCTACTGCCCAGTGTACTGTCCTGGTTGGCAATGTGCTGGCAATGGGACTGACCCCTCCTTCTTGTCACCCATGGGACAGTGTTGGTAAGAGTGGACCCCCACCTCGGCTCACCCATGGGCTGCTCTCTGCCCCCACCAGGTCCACATCGACATGGTTTTGTCCCTGCACATCCCATGGATAGATTTGGGAAGTGCCCCAGCATTCCCAGTCTGGGGAGATGGATGGGGCTGCAGGCAAAGACCTGACAGAAAAGGGGAGCAGAGGTGAGAGCCTGATACCTGTACGTGCTCTCGAGATGATCCAGGTCTGCCTGGTGCCGCTGCTGGAGACGCTCCAGCATCAGTTTGTATTGAGCCCGCTCCATCTCCAGCATCTGGACCTGTTGGGCACCCAGAGAAGATCCTTGTGCTGCCGCAGGGACAGAGATCTACAGCAGCTCTTAGTGACCATAGACATCCCTGGACAGGGAGGTTTCTCCTCTCTCCCATCACCCTGATGTTATCTGGAGCAGACGCAACCCCTTCTCCTTCCCCTGGGTCTCCCATGGTCTGCATCCAGCAGGCTATGGGGTTCACCTGGCTCTCCAGCTCTGCCACACGGGCCTGGGCCCTGAGGAGCTCTGCATGACAGCCTGATGCATCCTTGTAGAGCTGGGTTGTGGGAGCTCCCAGCCTCCTCTCATGTAGCAAGCCTGGGGCTGCAGAATCTGCCTAAGAAGATGAAGAAAGAAAATTAAGGCTCTTTGGAATCAGTGGCTTTGTGGTGGGGCCATCAGCCCCCAAAGGAAGGCACGAGCCTCACCTGCAACTGTGGGGCACTCTGCAGATGTGCCCTGGGTGCAGCAAAATGCAGGGACACAGGGATGCTCTCAGGGAGGTAAAGCATCTCCTCCCAGCATGGGAATGGCAATCTACCCCCAGCCTTCTGCTGTCCCTCCTCTATCCTTCTCCAGCCCAAGCCCATTGCTACCCTGGGCCCTTTTTCTCCAGTTGACACCCAGCAAGCAGCCTCTACCCCAGACACAAGCATGCTGGGCTCTTCGTTCTCTGGGGAGACACTCAAGGATACACCCATGAGTCCTCTAGGAGAAAGCGTGTGTTCTGCCACAAGGGCAGGCACAGAGGCTAAGCTAAATGAGAAATGGAGGCTTCAAAAACCAAAACTCTAATTTCCCTTCCATTGTCTAGAAACAATCTCAGAGCATCTTCACCACCATACTGGGAAAAACAGCTGAAGAAAGTCTTCTATCAACTGGAGCCTCTGTTGTCTACTTATCTTCTATATATATATGCCTGGGGAACTATGTAATGCTGCTCAGGCAACACAGGGTTGTAAATACATTGTGATTTACAAAGCATTCACAACACATGTGCTTTGGCCTGATAAACACAACCTGTGGCATTTCAGGGCTCTCCACACACTTTGCCTCCATGTACACAGGCTCCCAGAGAGGCAAAGTGGGGCACACCTTTCCTCTTGCTGAGGGTACATGGACAGAGCTGGATCACAGTGCGTTGGTGGGCAGGGCTCACAATCACTGCCCTGATCCTGCACCTCTCAGGGGCACAGCCCCAGCACCTACCTGAGTGAGCACAGCAGGGACTGGCATCTTCTGCTCTTGTGGGATCGTGGTTGTAGGGACTGAAAATTGGACAAGCCTGTGATTCAGATGTGAAATGAACCATTCCCTCCCAGAAGGATGAGGGCTTCATGGGCAGAGCAAGAAGGATCCTGCTCCTTCCCTCCAGTGGTTGCTGATGGGGATGGATACTCAGACTGGCTTGTCCACATCTGCACCCCTACCCCACCTCATGCACAATAATGATGGGACTTTGCTCTGCAGAGTAAGTCTGGGGGCAAAGCACAGCTCCATCTCCATCACCTATGGAAAAGGCTGGCTCCTCTAAGTCATTTTCAGTGGCCCATGAACTGCTGCACAGCCTCAGTCACAGCAGCAGGGGGTCTTCCAGCAGACAGCACTAGTGGGATGAGCATGGGGACAGCAGGAGGGAAAGGGGAGAGACACAGGACAGCACAAACTTAAGCCCACCCATAGCTCAGAGACAGCAAGTCCCTTGCAGCCCTCTGAAACCCCAAAAGCAGAACTGCAGAGCTCAGTGTGTCTCAGCACCATGTCCCCACCATGTCACAAAATAGGAATGGTGGGATCCTGCAGCTTGGCAGCCCTCTCTGACAACGACTGCTCAAAGCCTGGGCAGCATTCACATGGCCAAGGGCAACGATGTTGCGGCTCCTGCCTTGTTTTGGGGTGGTTTTTTTTCAGGGCAGGGGGACTCTTTCTGCATACTGCTGCCCAAATTGTACAACCACATGAAACACACCCAGGGCGCTGTCATCTCTGGTGGGATCCCCTTGCACAGACTCCAACGGGTGAGCTGAGTCCTGTTTTGCGGTGCTGAGCCAGGGGACCAGCTTCCTGGATGGGTACACAGACACCAGTGATGCACAGCAGTGTCACAGCTCAGGGAGAGGCACATGGATATTATCCTGACTGGCATTTCTAGAAGCTTGAAGCTGGCTGTCCCACTGTAACCAAACAAGCAAGAGCCTGACAGTCCTTCACAGCTTCCTTCCCTCCCAGTGACAAAGTTCCCAGTGACCAAAGCAGGACCCAGGGCAGTGTGTGCAATCTTGGCCAAAACTGGAAGGAGAGAACAGAGGTTTCATGGGACTGCAGGCAGTTATCAGCAGAATAAAGCCCTGCATTATTACCCCAAGCCAGACTAAGATAGTGCTTAAAAATATTTTCTTTAATTGGAGCCAAGGGTTTCTGAGAGGTCCTACTGGAGCAGCTACATGTGGTACAGATGCAAGAGCTGTGGCCACAAATCATGACCTCACCTGACAGGAGACCGGGGATCCAGCCCATTGCCTGGAGCTTCTGAAGGCTTGGCATTTCTCTCCTGGGTCTTTGCCTGTGCTTGGGCTTTCTTGCGAGCCAACAGGGCCATCAGCCAGTCCTCCTCCTCCTCTGGTGGGACAGGTTGAGGTGCTGCCTTCTCTGCTGCCGGAAGCTGGCTGGTGGAGCGGTGCTGCCTGGCTGTGGCAGGGCTGGGGTGGCTCACTGTGGGACTGGCTTTCATTGGGGATGACAGCTCTGAATCCATAAAAGCCTCATCTTTCAAACCCAGCCAGTCTCCTCTATTCCTGCTGCCCCACACAGGGTTCTGGCTGGCTGGAGAAGGTTTGTGGCAAGGTTCTGGTTTTGCTTCACTGATGGTCTCAGCAGAAAACCTGCTGCAAGGACTAGCAGTTGCATATCTGCCTGCCAGGGGACCCGAGGGACTCTGCCTGCTCTGTCACAGGGGAAGCAGCCATGCACTCACAGAGCACAATACCTCACAGATTGCCTCCTCCCTAGCTGGCCACTGGGCATGGAGGCCATTGTGGGCCGGTATGCTCCAAAGTCAAAATCCTCCTTGTCCCATCCATCTTCCTTCTCTGTTCAGATAAGCAGCCTTGAGTCAGCACCCAGAGGAACAGCCATCTGCAAAAGCACCAGCCCTTTTCCTCCCCTGTAATTTCCACTAGGATTGCTGCCTCTGGGAAAACACAGCTGGAACCATCATCCCCAGGAACCCATGAGCAAGTGCCTCCTCAGTGTGGCTGGGAAAAGCTTCTTTGCTGGAAATCAGACCATGTCCAAAGGCAATGGAGTTATGGCTACTGCGCAAATGCTCCCAGGCTGCCTCAAGGCCAAAGTACTACACTTTTTGCACCTTTCCCTGCACTGCCTGACAGCCCATTAGCATCCCTGCAAAGAAAGGGTATTTCCCCTGCAAGGGCATCAAAAATCAATCTCACTCTCCCAAGCCAATGCTATCACCTCTGCAGACTTTCCCAGCATCCCTGGCTGTGCTCACTTGGCTGGTTTTGGTATTTTTTATCCAGTTTGAAATCCCTGTGCTCTCCCTTGCCTGGCTGTTTCAGGATTTTTGTCCATGGAGCCTTGTCCCAGCACTTCATCTACCATGGAGTGGGCTGGACAGAGCTCCTCTCTGTTAGGGACACAGTGGCAGATTGATTTCTCTGAGGGGCAGGATTCATCCTCAGCACACAGCCTTGCCAGGGGGCTCTGGCTCTTCTCTGCCAAACAAGGCTGCTCTTGTCCCTTTCTGGGAGCCACAGGCAGAAGCTCCAGCGCCCCCTACCCAGCATGGTGGCACCATCTCAACACACAAGACATCCCCTACTTTACCTCTTCATTGTCCTTACTCTTTTGCCTTCTCTCCTTACTTCTCACCTCCTTTTGGGCCACTCCCAAACCCCAGTGCATCCATCAAGTCTTCATCATCATCTTCAAATGTGAGCTCCCTCCTCTGGACTGGTGCCATGGTGTGCAGGGGCATCTGAGGTGGCTCTGTGGATGGGATCAAGCAAGGAAGGAGATTTGATCAGAGTTTTGTTTTTTTTTTTGTTTAACAAGAGATCAAAGCATCCCTGACTTCTCTTATCACTCATGATCATTTAAAAAGTAATTTTTAAATAACTCTTCCAAGTAACCACATCTCATAATAAATGACAAAGTGGCAATGTGCTACTGCCTGGTTTGTGGCCATGCATCCACTGATGGTACATTGCTGGGTATCACTGAGTTTTCTGCTCTGGCTAACACCAGGAGCTCCTTTACCTTTGCAAGTTTCCAATCAGATAATTCCTGCCCCTTGTCACCCAAAGTCCTGCTCCACCAAGGCACCTTAGTCCTTGCCCTAATCTACTAGCTGCTGCTTGTGTGCGGGGTGGATTTACCAGGGGGAACAGTGATTTTTAGAGGACTATCAGACTATTTAAGCTGAAAGAAGGGATATTTAGCTTCAGTGTTAGAAAAAAAGTCTTCATTATGAGAGTGGTGAGGCCCCAGCACAGGGTGCCCTGAGAAGCTGTGGCTGCCCCATCCCTGTCAGTGTTCAAGGACAGGTTGGACAGGGCTTGGAGCAACCTGCTGTAGTAGGTGTCCCTGCCTGTGGCAAGGGGTTGGAACTGGATGAGCTTTAAGGTCCCTCCTAACTGAAACTGTTTTATGATTAGTGTCCCTGTTGCAGGAACAAGAGGGATGAGTGCCAGTAACACAGCCACAGTGTGGACGGATCCCACTGAGAGGTGCACCAACTGTGGTTTGGCATGGATAGGTGATGCTCTCAGCAACCCAAATCCTAACGCAGAAAACTCGTTCTCATCTGGCAACATGCAGAAAAGGCTGGATGAGGTCAAATGTGAGACCTGAACCTCCATTCCCAGAGAGGAAAGGTCATTTCTGAAACCTGTGGCAAACTGAAAATATCAAGCACTCAATGAGCTGGGTCACAGTTAACCCCGTTACCAAGTTGTTCTATAAATTATTAATAAGAGATGGACTAGGTGGCTTTCAATTCAATTCAATCAGTTTGGACCTCACACAAACTCAGCCAGCTGCTGATTCACTTAATACAAAGAAAATGCATCAAGCAACTCTGCTTACCTTTTTCTTTGCTCTGTTCTGTGTTCTTTTCAGAGCTGCTTTTAGTGCCAGTTGAAGATGGCTTTTTGGGAGCATCCTGCTCCTCATTAGATAAAAGCCCTGCCAAAGGATCATCTAAATTTGGAAATTATCCCATAGGAAAGGAGAATAATAAGAAAAACAAATAAACCAAATGTTATTTAGAAGAACAGTTCTGTGCTAAGCCAAGCTCTATCCCCTACCATGTGCACATGGGGACAGCAGATCGTATCTGCTCAAAGCCACGAAAGGAGGTTCTGCAGGGACCTGGGACACCCTTGAGTCTCCCTGCACTTCATACACTCAAGAGTTACATTTATGTTCAGTTTTTCCACATTTTTTTTTTTCTCCTAGGAAAAAATAATGCTAACTTTGGGTGCTTTAATGCTTGAACACTGTTTAGGCAAAGAAAAGGGGGATTAAAAAAGCTCACCTAAAGCACCCAAAACCCATCCATAATTTGAACAGATACTAATCTTGGTTAAAGCACAGCCTTTGACAAGCAGATCTCAGCTGTGCCAGAGAACTATTGCCCCTGCTTGGAAGTTGGACAGAATCCCTCCTGACACAACGGCTGCATCTTTTTTTCTCATTTGGTCATCTCTGTAGGATTAGATCTGCATCAGCATCATAGGAGAGAAGGACCCAAATTTCACTGACCAGCCAAGCCTTTAGTTAACACATTAGGCAAACTATGGGGTCCTAGTTTAAGTAACTCAGAACCACACAGCCGCTCACTCACTCCTCCCCTTCCTCCCCCTGCTCCCAGACACATGTGGAGGAGAATCAAAAGAATGTAACTCCCACGGGTTGAGATAAGAACAGTCAGTAACTAAGGTATAACACAAAACCACTACTGCTACCACTAATAATGATAAGGGAAATAACAAGGGAAGAGAATACAACTGCTCAACACCCACCGACTGATACCCAGCCTGACCCAAGCAGTGATCTAGCCCTTCTGGGTAACTCCCCCCAGTTTCTATACTGGGCATGACATGCTGTGGTATGGAATACCCCTGTGGCTAGTTTTGGTGTCCTGTCTCTGCTTCCTCCTGGCTTCCCCTCCTCCCTGGCAGAGCACAAGACTGAGAAAGTCCTTGGTCAGACTAAACATTACTTAGCAACAACTAAAAATACCGGTGTTATCAGCGTTGTTCCCAGCTGAAAGTCAAGAACACAGCACTGCACCAGTTACTAAGGAGAAAAATGACTGCTACTGCTGAACCCAGGATATAAGGGCAAAGAGCAAGGGCGGAGTCCTCAGCTGCCCCCATGTATCTACGTGCTGAAGTGAAGAGAGATCCTACCTTCAAAGTTCTTGTGCAGCTGGTGAGCAGGAGATGAGAGTGCCTTCTTTTCCATAGCTGGCTTTTCTGGAAAGAGAGGCCACAGCTGTTAAGACAAGGTACTGCAGAGACATCCGTGTTCCACCCTGGCTGAAAGTCAAGTTTTCCGGTGGCAGCCCCCTAAAAGCAGATGTTGTGACACATAGTTCACCCACAGCCGTACCAGATGGGAATCTTTCTGGAAGAGCCTCCTTGCAAGCAGAGAAGAAAAGGGCCCGGGGAAGAGCAGGACACTTTGGGAACCGGCATATCTCAAATACAACTACTCTTGCTCTCCTTACACAGAGATTAAGCAGAACCCAGTAGGAACACTTTGCAGAGGGAACAGACAAATGGTGTTTGGTGGGAAGCAGCAGCATGGCTGCTCTTGCTGCTATCAGCGATGTAATCATACCCTGAAGAGGGGCCAGGGATCACCTATGGGACAACAGGTAGCCAGAAAAATATTTCCCCAAAAAGGGAACACGAAAAGGATTTTCAGGAACAAATAATTTTTTTGTTCCTATACCAGATGAAAATATTCCCTGCTCGTTTACAATCAGGCTGTGAAAAGAAAAGTAAAATCTCCTTTTTAACTTTCTCAGGAGTTAGCTGCTTTCCTGTGATTTTACTCCTCCTTCCAAGGAGTCACATTTCCCAGGACATTACACAGTAGTCTTCCCTGGTCCAGAACTGGATTTTGGCATTCCCAGGAGATCAGCTGGCTGGTAAGCTTCAGGAAATTTACCAGGAATTCTGTCTGGATGTTGTGGTTTGAAACGAGCTGGTAACTCAGCACCAGGCAGCTGCTCACTCACCCCTGGGAGGGATGGGGAGGAGAACAGGAACAATGTAAAAACCCATGGGTTGAAATAAGAACAGTTCAATAACTAAAGTACGATATTCTACTACTAATATTACTAATAATAGTAATAATAAGAGAAATAAGAAGGGGAGAGAGTATAAAAAAAACAAAAGGGGAAATGGAAAAAAAGCTGTACCAGCTATTAAGAAGAAAATTCTCTCTATTCCAGGACATCATAGCTGAAAACAGGACACTAGAAAAACCCAACAGAAAGAGGTTAGGATGATGGCCATAGGCATATTACTGAGCTAGGCACTACAAAGGGGGATTTCTCCACCACACCCAGGAATCACAGAAGCTTTTAGCAAGAGATGAAGTTCACTTGGCCTCCCCAGGTTGATGTCTACCCTATTCAATGGTCTCCAATTCTGGGCAACCCTACTCCATGCTCTGCTCCCTGCTGCATCCCCCCTCACAGCTGGAGCCCTCTCAGAGATCAATGACTGTTGTACCAGCACCTCCTGCTCGTGGGAGGGGAGGAAGAGGATAGAGATGCTGCCCTTCCAGCTGCAAAGAAGGTCCATTTTACCATTCATCTCAGGAGGTCACCAAACACTTAATCAGTGGAGCCCGAAATGAAACAAATTCAAAGTGTTGAGGAGGCAGGAGAGCTCCGGCAGTGGTTAGATGCCTGGAAAGCGAAGGAAACGTTAAACTGGAGCCACCTGTACTCGCTGCCTTGTCCTGCAGGGCAGCTGCTGTGAAGGAGGCTGGCTGCATGCAAGAAAAAGATATCCTATGTGCGGGAGCCGAGGAGAGAAAAAAAGAGCCTTTCCCACACACCATGTCCTGACTCACAGGTGAAAGCCTGAGCTGCGACAGAATTCAGCGGCTTCAGAAGGAGCAAAGACACCTCAAATTATCCATCGGAGCGCGGCTGGAAGCGAAGAGAGTTTCCGTTTCATACACAGGACGGGAAACGAGACCGAGGGAGCCCGCGGAGGGCGGAGAGCAGGAGCACGGGCCGGGCCGGGCCGGCGCCACCCCAAGCCCGCTTGGGGAACCCAGGCGTCCGCAAGCTCTCCTGCCCCCCCTCCAGCCCCGAGCGGCTCCCGTTGCCCACCCGTGCGGAACCGCAGCTCCCCGGCCCGTGTCTCACCGGCCGTGCCGAAGGCCCGCGCACCGCACCGCGCCGCCATCAGCAAAGGCGCCGCCATGATGTGAGTCTCCCGCAGAGGAAGGCCCCCGTTACTATAGCGACAGGGGCTCCCCCCCCCCCTCCGCCCGCGCAGGGTCTGCCTTGAAGGGCCCTCGCTGCCACAGCAACGGGGCTGTCGCTGCCAGAGCCTGGCTAGAAACGTCCTCCCAGCCTCAGGGTGACGGGCTCTTCCCACCACCGGGACGCCGCTCCCCGTCCGCGCCCTTGCTCTTCGGTCCGCAGCGCTGGGACCCTGAGCGGAGCGAAGCGAGCGGCTGGAAGCAGAAACCCAGCCCAGCAGCCAGGTTTCTTCAGGAAAAGGCTCTCGAAGGAAAAGCTGGAGCTGCCAGTGAGCTGTGGAATGGCCTCGGGGTGCTGCGGAATGTCATCGAAGCCCCAGGGCAGAGCCGCCACACAGCTCTTACCTTGCCCAGCCTTGCAGCCAGACCAGGAGAAGCTTTCTGTCCTGGCTCTTCAGCTATGGGTCTTTTCTACACACACGGAGCTCCGCAGTGGTGCTGTCCGTATTGCTCTCGCTCCTGGCTTTCCCAGTCTCATTGCGTGCAACCTCTCTGGCGCCTGCTCCCGGCCGTCCTGCAGCGCAGAGCACAAACGTGCGGCGTCTACTCCCACAGCCGAAGAGCCAGGACAGAAAGCTGGTGCTGGGCCTCTTGTGCAGACACAGACCTCCGCAACGGTGCAAACTACTCAGCTATAAAAATTCCAAGAGCCAACTTATGGTGGTGCTGTGGGAAAAAAAAAACCTAAGGTCTACACTTCCTCCGAACTGGAAGGGATCCTGTGCAATTGTTCAATTGGCAATGGCATTTCAAAGGGAAACAAACTCCTCAAGGCATAAAGAGAAAGGAATAAAGGCGTAAAGAGAAGGGACATCCTTTGGTGAAAGAACCTATATTGATTCAGTTGGAGTCCCTTGAGGAGTTCTTGATGAATACAAAGCTAGGAACTTGGGAGCAACAGGGTTTGAATCTTTTGTGTGTGTGTGTTTTGGTAAGCTACAATCAATATAAATATAGATTAGATAAATTATATTTATTATAATCAACAGAAGTTTATGTATCATGACAGGGATGCCATAAAAGGAACTGCAAAACAATTAGATGCTACCAGCAGAATGACATGGGAAAATAGAATAGGTTTAGATATACTAGCTGAAAAATGAGAAGTATGCATAATGCTAAAGAATAGGTGTTGCACATTTATTCCAAATAATACAGCACCAAACAGAATTGTGACCAGGGTCATACAAGGCCTTGCTACCTTGGTGGAAGAATTGGCTGAAAATTAGAGAATAGATAGTTCATTAACAGGATGGTTAGAATCCTATTTTGGAAAATAGAGGGGAATAGTGATACCAATTTTTACTTCCCTAAATATAGTAGCAGTAATATTAATAGCTATAGTATGCTGCGTAATTCCGTATGTAGGAAGACTTGTACAACTTCTTATTGGAACAACTTTGTCAAAACAAATGCTCATGGGACCACCACCCTACTCTGATAAAATACTTTCTGTAAAAGAAAAGAAAAGTGAAGATGATTTGGATGGCTTATCTTCAGAAGAAAAATATGAAATTACATTATCCAGACTGGAAGTGACATACAGGACAATTCTTTAAAGAAGTGCAAAAAACCAGCAATAGTATAAATAAGAGAAAGGGGGAATTGTGAGGGAAACAGTGTTGTTTTCATATAATTGGGGATGAGGCTTTGTAATATTACGGCTTTACAATATTAGCACTCTAAGATTAATATTAAGGCTTTGCAATGTTAAGATTTTTCAATATTGGGGCTAGGGCTAAGTTACTAAGGGAATGAAACAAAGGGCTTGAGACACCATAACTTAGAAAGACACACCCTGTGGTTAAAGACAATATCATCTCTGGACGAAAGATACACACTGTGGTAAAAAAGAATACTATCTTTGTACAACCTAGGAAACTAAGCTGGCACAGGCTTAAAGAGTGAGTTGGGGTACCACATGTCTGCCAAGAGAGTTATGAAATTGAACCATAAAAGGAGATAAATAAGAGGAAAGGGCATATGAAATGGAGTAAGGGGAGGTGTAAGCAGAGGCGGGACATTTAGCATGTAGATTATACACGTCAGACAGGCTGTAAACCTTGGAGTACCCAACCAATGGGGAAACAAAGGAGTGAACTTGGAGATGGGGTAGGAAGTATAAATCATAATTCTGCTTTTGCTGTGTGTGCGTACTTGCCAGGACACCCGTTTTTGCACAAACATTAATAAATAGCTGCTTCACTGCTGTGTCTACCCTGAGCTTAAGTTTTTATCTAGAGACTGTTTCTCACACTGCTGGGCCTCTTCTGCACACAGTGACCTCCGCAGTGGTGCCACTGGCATTGCTCTTGCTCCTTGCTTTCCCACCTAAATGTCCAATCGTGTGCAACCTCTGCGGTGCGTGCTCATGGCCGTCCTGCAGCACAGTGCCCAGAGCACGAACATCCAGCCCCTGCTCCCACAGCTGAAGAGCCAGGACAGAAAGCTGCTGCTGGGCCTCGTCTCCACACAGTGAGCTCTGCAACTGTGCCTTTGGCATTGCTCTCGCTCACGTCTTTCTCACCTAGAAGTCCAATTACGTGCAATCTCTACACTCCCGCTCCCAGCCATCCTGCAGCACAGGACGCAGAGCATGAATGTCCTGCCTCTGCTGCCACAGCTGAAGGGCAGGACAGAAAGCTGCTGCTGCTGGGCCTTGTCTTCCCATGGTGAGCTTTGCAACGGTGCCACTGGCATTGCTCTCGCTCCTCGCTGGTTAGTGTTTTCCTTTCCCATCTAGTTTTATGCTCTGTCCCCTTTAACCCACGACAGTTCTACAGGAGCAAAGTTTGTTGTACAGATGTTAATAGTGATTTTAGTGATATGAGATTTTACCGTTTCTCTTGTTGCTCCAGGTCTGGTTTTTAACTTCACAACTTTCTTCTTGTCTTTTTAAGGAGCTCTGGCTGGTGGGCGAGTTATTTATTTATTTATAGTTCCTGTCGGTTACCAACCTTCTCCTTGCTCCTACAGCTGCTGATTGCCAAGTTTTCCATGTGGGTCCTTCCCTCCGTGTGTGTCCCTTGCTTGTTCCCGGGACTGTAGTGCTCCCGTCAGCAGGAGGTGCGGAGCTGCTTCTGCTCCCCAGCTCCGTATGGCCTTAGTTGTGGTCGCTGCCATTTCCCTGCCACGGGCAGATTCGCAGTCTGTAGCTGAGGGTTGCTTTTCTTCAGGGGTGGCTTGTCTGGGGTTGGGGTGGGAGAAGTTGGCCCCCGCTGTCTGCGTTGTCTGGTGTGGCCATGGGACTGAGTGTTGAGCAGTCACGATTTGTGTTCAGAATTAACAGTGCACAGTGTAGAGAATGCAGGAATCTTTTTTGTTTGCTTTCCATGCGGATTGGAATAAAACGAAGCACTTGACGGGATGGAGCCATCCCTTTATTGCTGGGTTGCGGGATAAAGGATGATGCAAGCGTGCAGGGTGCGGAGGAGCATAGTGTGGCTGCTGCGGGGCCCGGAGCTTTGGCTCCCAGCGATACTGACACTGCAGGTTCCGCAAAGGCTCGCGGAGCGGCATTACCCAAGACCAGCCCCTCGTGAGGAGGACGGGGAAGGCTGGATCCGGCCCTCCGCGAGGAAGGGGGTTTGCCCACGATAAATAAGGGCGGCGCCGTGGGAGCGGCCGGGACGGGGTCCGGGAACTGCCTGGAAGCGGCGAGGCCGCTGGGAAAAAGGGTTCTAGTGAGGAACAGGCTCCTCGGGGAGGGCTCGGGCAGGGGGCGCCGCTGTCCAAGATCCGCGGCTCGGCCACGGGGATGCTGCGGCCGGGAGGGGGCGCACGAGCCCTCCGCGGGGCTGGGCAGGGTCTGCTCCGGGGTTCCACAGGCTCCCGCAGCCGCGAGACCCCCTCCCCCCGCCGGCCGCTCAGGACTTAAAATGTTTCTTTATCAGAATCTCAAAATGATTTTCCTTCTCTTTGGCTGCACAAGCTCAATTTCAGACGCTACCACAGCCCTTACTTGAGCAGAGTCGCATTCTAAGAAAGAGGGCAGTGGCTCTTCTTTACTCTTTTTCATTTTTAACCCTACAATATGAAAGCACCTGAGGAAGCACAGCTTCTTCAGAGCACCCGGGGCCACAGGCAGAGGGGAAAAATCTATGTTAGGGCAGGGAAAAAAATGTACATCTCTTCCTTACCCTGAGTGTGCGGGAGTTTGGCTGCTGGCAACAGAGTTGCGTAACATCGGTACCTGGGTGTAAGGGAGCATTTAGCGAAATCATGGCATTTTCTGGCCTACCCAATTAAAAGAAAGAAACAGAGAAGCTGCTAGCATCAGCGTGCCATTTTTCCAGCTTTAACTCCTCATGTGCCACATCCTGCACAGTTACAGTGTTACCAGAAGTAACTTCACGTGGAAGCGTATCTCAGAGGTAACACAGGAGACATTTCATTTGTAACTCTTAAAACTGTACCGCTTATTAAAAAGAAAAAGACACAAAGAGAAAATGTATATAAAAATTATTTTAATAAAAATTTAAATTTCTCCCTTCAAAAAATAGGCCAAATTAATTCTGGCAGACATAGTGTGGAAGGTAGGGGAAAATGACAACAAACCCCCTGATTTGTCCTTTTATATGTTTGGGATTAAAAGTTTCCTCCCTACCATCATCTATCATTGTGGATGCAAAGGAAATCACAAATCATATTGCAAAACAAATTTTGGTATGTAGTAGAAAATTGTAATAGGGTAATTCACAGGTTTTATAAAACTCAAAGACATTTTCAGTTCCTGAAAGGATGTGGGAGAGGCACTGGATCTGGTTTTAGCAAAGGGTATTTCTGAACCAGTTATAAAATACTATACTGAAGGTTGCTGTTAGGTGACAGCCCAAAGCAGTCTTAGGATGAAGGAATTCAGGATGGAATATTGGTGTACAAGTCAAGAATCAGGAGGTCAGAAGTAGGCTGGAAAATAGCTAATATTAGCATTTTAATAACAGAAGAGAATTGATTTCCTATTTTACTGCATGGGTGTGTTTTTGAGAACAGCATAGGCAGAAGAGCACTCCTGAGATGATGAGACAGGCAGCTGTGTGCCATTTAGCAATGAGATTGGTTCAGACTGCCAGAAATTCTCGATTGGATCCAGACAGTTTGCCAATACGTTTGAAAGGCTTGAAGAAGTATGAAGCCAGTTGTCATGCACCTC